TATGAATAACTTAGTTTACTTGGTTCACATTGATGTCTCTGTACTACTGAACGCCTTCATTTATTTTTTCAAAGAACAGACAATATTATGCTCTCGCCTACTAACTACCTAACTAGGTTTCCATTTAGATCGACAATGGCCAAACTAACGACATTATGGTAAAATACGGTACGAACAAATTAAAATGTGTTTCCCAAAAGGGGGTGTTTAAAAAAAAAAGTGTTTTTAACACTGTTGAGTCATCATTAGTGCATACTCGTCAGGTTAACATGGAAATTTGTCCATAAAAATATCTGGGCCAGTTTCGCCAGCCAAACCATTGTCGATCTAAATGAAAACCTAGTAGGCGACCTAGTACGCGAGGAGGTACAATATTGTCTGTTCTTTGAATCAAAATCTGTCTGCCTGTCAAGTGGCGCTGGCATCCTGAAAATGGAAAAAGCTCATTTGTTTCTGTCAAAATAGACCATATTAGGTTGATATTCTCTTCTTCTATTTTTTTCCAATATGTACTCAACCACAGATGTGCTTTCCATCATTGACGTGATATTTGATACAAAGGCGATGAAGAAGATTCTTTCATGAGATTGAGATGTCATAATCAAAAAATTATTTTCTGACAGTTGTCATTAACTTTTAACTTCGTCTTTGTGAATATGTTATACTTCGAATTCGTATTCTTGAAAATTACAATTATTCCTAATTATTTCTTCTAGTATTGGTTTTGTATTGCAGTTTGTTGATTGGTTTGTGAGTGCGATTGTGTTATTTTGCAATGTTATCTGAAAACTTCGCACTCTAGGAGGTGTAGGTGTAAAATTATCAAGACCTGGTTTCCCCTATCCTCACTGTTGTGAATTTGAGCCACAAATCCTGAGGCATCAATGAGTTTATGCCATATTCATTGGATTGCAAGGTGAAATTTGTTTCTTGAATCGCATAATATTTGAAACTTGATGCTCAGGAATGGGAGTTTTTGAAGTGAGCGAACATGATACTGTATGTTTCCAACATTTTAAGGGAACTGTTTCTTGCCAATGAAGAATAGGAAACGGTTTTGGAAGGAGGGTTCGGTTCCAAGTTTGTTAAAGGAAGGTATATATAAATAAAATTATTAGTTTCTAGTTGACTGGAACTATTAGTTTCAGTACAAAAATTACCAAGAACTTGACTTTGGGACCTCTAAAAATTGTTCGATAGTCAATTGTCATTAAAACTCATTTCAGAATGGCACAGATCATTGAAACTGGGGAAAAAATAGATATCAAATATTTTTATACGAACACGACCTGAAGATTAAGAAGGCATCTGAGGAGGAAACGGGCATTTGAACAGATATTATAGAATGATAATAAATAATAAAGAAGTTTATTCAAAATGAATACATAATATAAATTAAAAAGTTATACATATTGGTATTGAATATTCCTATGGAAATTAAAAAGTTATACATATTGGTATTGAATATTCCTATGGTTCAATTTGTGGCAATTATAGACCATCTTCCCATATTTAGTGAAGTTCGTGGATAAGATGATTTTATAAAAAATAATCATTGTTCAGCAAAGCATATATTTAACCTATATACCTTTCGTACAATATAAATAGTGTTTTCAAACTTACCTGCCAATACATCTGTACAACAATAAACAGGGTATCAGAGGAAAACAAATTAGTAGAATAAAAATTGCAATAATTCTTCATAATTATATTCAATTTATTGAAAAATATATTTGTATTGTCATTCGTACATATACAAGTTATTTTCCAATAAAAAAAATTCGAAATATCCCAGCATCTTGATATTTTGTGTTTGGAGACATTGATGAAATAAACAGATTGAGTCTAACCTTATTGCTTCTATATATTCATTTCAGATGGAAAATTTTCCATTCTGTTCTCAAACATCATCATCCTTCTGGTACATTCCTTCTGAACATTACTCACATAATGATTCCTGATGTGATTCTTCCACATCAATTTGTTTGTATCACTCATAGTTTTTCTCTTTGCTGTAGGTAGGTACCTGAAATTTTCAAGTATAGTGATTCCGATATGTACATAGTTTACATCACTAAAGACATGTTTCCACTGCAAATAACGGAATTCCATGAATTATATAGTAACTTATCAAAAATATAGAAGGAAATAAGCAGCCCCTACCTTTCTGCTTGGCTTGCATGTCGAAAAAGTGTAAAAGCACTGATGAGTTTCCGAAGTTTCCACAGTTCCAACTCAAATTCAAGTTGCATCATAAGTCAACCTGATACAGCATTCCCTAAACATCTCCCTGCTTCCATTCAAGTATAGGTAGATGGTTTTCATACTTGATAATATTTTTCGTGATAATGTTTCATTTTCGGGTTTCAACATGACAGATTTTTATTTACAAACTTGACAGGACCATGAAAAATGTTATGGGTTAGGAATAAAATATGAATAACTTAGTTTACTTGGTTCACATTGATGTCTCTGTACTACTGAACGCCTTCATTTATTTTTTCAAAGAACAGACAATATTATGCTCTCGCCTACTAACTACCTAACTAGGTTTCCATTTAGATCGACAATGGCCAAACTAACGACATTATGGTAAAATACGGTACGAACAAATTAAAATGTGTTTCCCAAAAGGGGGTAGGATACAGATTACATTTTGTTAAGCAGCCATTGTCGCTGCGACATGTCGTGTTGAAATGAACTCATCAAACCACTATTTATCGACATATTCAGATGAAAATAAAAGGAGAAGGCAAATTCTCATTTTCATTAGATTTTATTTTCAAATTCGTATCGTGTGTATTCAAAGATATAATTCAATGTTCGTCGTGGCATATAGCCAGGAAAGTAGTTGTTTTCTGTTGAATATACCGATAACGAGTTGATATATTCAACACAGAGAATGCGAATTCTCAATGTTTTTCTTTATATACAGGGTGGCATTGAAATAAGTGCAAATATTTCAAACACTCGACGTGTACTATCGAATAATGTCACTAATAAAAAAAAAATAGAAATCAAAATAAAATTTTAGGTTAGACCCCTTCTTCCACCAAAAGTTCTACACTGTATCAAATCTGACGTCACGTCTGTTGAAATTTCCATGCGGTAGGCACAATCAAGTGGAGTTCAATCATTCAAATTGTTTTAAAGTGGCGTACTTAATTTTTTTCTCGTATTTTGTTCAATTTTTGGGATGAAATTTCTCGTTAATTAGAAGAATTAAAAAAAATCTGATATCATGGGAATATTCCTTAGATTGTATCATATTAATGTGCTGAATATGTGTACTTATTTCAAAAACACCTTGAATATATCCATTTTTTCATATTCTTAATATACCTGAGAATATTGCTTTTCAATACTTTCATTACCCAATCAAGGGGTTCAAACTTGAACGATGTTAACTTGTTATTTTTATAGACCTTTAATCGCAGATTCCTGATTGGGTTTTCTCAATTCAGAATTTTATTAACACGCCCTGTAAGATGAATATACATTCGTCATACATCCAAACAAATATTGGTTTGTTCACATTTTCATTGTGAAATTCGTGTTTTTCAGACAAAAATACGTAAGTAACCAAAAAAATATTTGAAAAAAAAAAACGTATGATGAGTGCAAAATTCCCCACTTTTCTGAAAATGAGCGATTACAGAAGTAAAATGAGTACACTACTGTATTATACGTAGATAGTTATATAAGGCCATCTCAGTCAGTCAGTACTGTCAGTAAATCCACCGACTCCGCTGAAAATCTGTGTTCCGAAATATAAAATCAAAAATACAGTGCTGTAATTCGGAACATGTTTTCATCAGTTATCAGCAGCGGTTGATCAGCTGAAGTTGTCAGTATTCAAGTTGTCTCTTTGTAAAGTTTTTCGTTCATCTGAACTAGATATTATTCTCAGCGTCAATTATTTTAATGACAGGCATTTTCTGATATTAAAAATGATATTATTAATTTATTATTGATAAAACAACGGAAATAAATGTGACATCCCTTCCCCCTTTAAAATAATGACAGTTTACTGAAGCTACACTACCTTTTGATAGTCAGCAATTTCAGCAGAATGTTGGGTCGAAATATTAGGAATGAATAGTATGTCTGCTCACAAGCATCTGTCACTTTCAGTGAATTTTCGGATTTCGGAATGAAAAATCGGCAGATTTAGTACTGTCAGTTGAATTCGGAATATAGCCAATGAATAACCCTGGCTATATTCCGAATTCAAGTGGTCAGTACTGTCAATAGATCCACTGAATCTGCTGAAAATCTGTGTTCCGAAATATAAAATCAAAAATACAGTGCTGTAATTCGGTACACGTTTTCATAGTTTTCATCTAGTCAGCAGCAGTTGATCAGCTGGTGAAATTTGTCAGTCTGTAGTTTCTCTAGATATTTAATATTTGATATTCAACATGGAAGAGCAATCGATTCTTGTAGCCTCCATAGTTTCTACGATTATTTACGATGACGATTCAGGCTCGAGTGATGAAAAACACTTGGACATTTTGTTGCCATTAATTTCTCATGACGCGCCAGTTTGTGAATTGAAAGATTTATAAAAAACGTAATGATGATGAATTTAGGAGACATTTCAGGTTTATTAAGTTCTTCTTTTGTTACCTCTACTACTTCATACTCAATATTATTCTCAGTGCATATTACTTCAATAACAGGTATTTTCTGATATTGAGATTAGTATTATTAACAACGGAAATGAATGTTACATTCCTTCCCCCTCTAAAATAATAGCAGTTCACTGAAGCCACACAACCTTATGATACTCAGCAATTTCAGCAGAATGTTGAGTCGAAATATTTGGAATGAATAGTATGTCTGCTCACAAGCATCTGTCACTTTCAGTAAATTTTTTGATTTCGGAATGAAAAATCAAATTCAGTACTGTCAGTTGAATTCGGAATATAGCCCCTGTACTCCTCGTATTCGAAAATCCGTTTGACAGTGTGACTTGACGTGGCCCGATCGTGTTTCAGTCGTACGAGAAGCAGGCCTTCCACTCGGGCACGCCGCCGCCGTTCGCCGGCGCCGGCCTGCACGCCGGCCAGAGCGCCGGCCTGGCCCCCACCGGCGCCGGCTACGCCCCGCAGGTCTACATACCGGCGATGGCGCCGCACCAGCAACACCACTCGACGCATCTCATGACGCAGCCGCTGCATCAGGTGAGCGATCGACGAATTACACCTTTTAGTCCAATCAAATGGTATTTTCACTTGGAAAAAATTCAAGTAGTCGGTTTCTCTGTGGTTTCATATGTTTTTGGAGGTGCTGAATTCAAATCTGAATTTTGCAAACAAAATTTCCTGGAGTGTTCCGAGATATTCGCAAAAAACAGCAAAATTTTCGGACTCTTTTCGGTTTTTCGCCCGTAACTCGGAAACTATACGTTATATCGAAAAGACCGCTCTATAGAAAGTGGAAGTAGATAAAATTCCCTAAATATAATTGACATTGCTCATGAATGTAGGACTAACGAGTGCGGAGATAGAGCCAGTTGAAAATTGACCAAATTTGAGTATTTAAAAAAAAAATAGCGTTTCTCGTCGGTTTTCGCAGATAATTCTAAATCTACGCATTCCTCGAAGAAACGAACTATACTGCCTGATGTGGAAGAGCCCTAGCCATGCGAATTCTTACTTTAGTCAGCATGTAACGCATGACTTTCGACTTGTCACTGTACTTAAGTATATTGTTATTCGTTAACGGAGTAGAAAAATCAAGTTTCCTATTGCAACGAATATCAAAAATGTCAGACATTTGAAGAAAATATAGTTAGAAGAGTTTCCTTCACTGTCGGCTATCTTCGAATTCACCGCGAATGCTTGTTATAAACATGCCTCACAGCGATTTCAAAATACGAAAGTTTCAGGTCAGTTCTTCCCGTTTTATTTATTTATTTTTTGTTGAGTTTCATATTCAAGCTATTTTCCTGTGGTCGAATATGTCAGATCGCCAGTGTCTGATATGTGACTGGTACATTACATGAACAAAGGTGTCCCGCGGTTTAGTGTCAGTCTCTTCTAGACCCATTTTTTTTTTTTTAGTAATAGCTCAGAGGGTAGTTTTTTAGCTCTTGTTTGCTGAGACTCGCTAGCTTAAACTGCTGAAGAACTCTTCTCGTTTACCTGGAGTTGCTCAACAGTAGTAGAATTTTTCACTTCATTCCCATTTTCTGAGCTCTGTGATAATGTGGCATTTGCTTGTCTCACAGAAAGGTAAAATGAGAGCTCTGCACTTTTTTGCTAGGCGATCAGCTGCCTCATTCCCTTGACGCCTTGGAACCCACATTAGCGAAAATTGATTCTAATACTTATTCATCACAAAATAGGTAATTTTGATAGTTTGAATAGTTGATCAGTTTTTTATCAAAATGTTCAGAGAATACCTTATAGCATTTGAAATTATTGTATCGCAAAATCCCAACTATAACAACTATGATTCCAGCGTACAGAATTATTTTTTTTGTCCCCCACCCCACAGTATACAAACACAAAACAATTACCTATTAATACGATTTAGAGCTTTAATGAATACAGGTTCATATAATCCAAATCATATAAGTTGAAAGGATGAACATGAGTGTGGCAACTACGACTAAAAGGCGTCTCCAAGTCGGAGCGCTCTAATTTACATGAGCTCGATAGGAAATTCGATGCTATTTCAATATGTGCATGATGCTCTATCTCTGAGTAATACGTAAAATATGAATTATCTGCTCTATTCGAGATATTTCAATGCATAAATAACAAAACCATAACCTGTCAGAATAAAACCTACTACCTTCTGCTTTCCTGCTCCGAGTGTATTTGTGGTTATGTATGTTTTTGTTAACCAGTTTTACTCCTTCTATTTTTTTCATTCGTTTTTCATACGTGAAAATGATAGGAATTTTGAACAATTTATATGAAATATCTGTTGATCGTTTGTTGACTGATGTTTTGAATTACTACTAAACTAGTTGGGCAATCCAAATTTCATATTCAAACCACTTTCTTTCCATTGGCGTAGAAGTTTCAGATGTTTATTTATTTCCCAATAAAGCTATGCCAACATACCACATTCACGTAGAATCTCTTGGGCCGTTTCCGAGTTATGAAGCAAAAATCATTTGAAAATTTTAACTTCAGAGCCATCTAGCGCTCAAACGGAATAACTTTGTACTGAGGTAATTTTGCTTGTATCGGATTGTTTTGGTCTGAGGAATATGTGGTAAGTTTTTGTAGAGACCTTTCAGGGACACCCTGTATAGTTAGGAGAAACTGAAATTCTAATTTAAATCGAATAGCCATGACCATGAAAGCATATGATTCGAGTGCCATTCCTGCGAATCTCGCATCAGAACAGTGAATTCGGATTAACTATAAAAGAGGTGGCTCTATGTCTTTATTGACTAGTGGTTCATAAAATGACGAAAACTACCTTGGTAGTAAAAACACACTGTACGCCTTGAAAAGGAGTAAATGATGGTAGATTCTAGAGCTAGTGGTGAGAAACCAATATATTCATATTTTTCGATAATTTATAATGTATTTAAAAAAAATCGGGTGTCGACTAAATTAGTTATTTCTTTCCAGGATTCTGGAAATACTACTGGTCAACGATCTCAGGGTTCGAATCAGGCAAAGAGTGGAACTAAGCAACCCTATCAGACTTCTTACTGGAATCAAGCATAAGGTGTTATCTCTAATTGGCCGCTCACTACTTCGCCCTTCCTCTTAACAAAAAAGAAACTAGTTCATTCATTTAGGCGCTACTTCATTAGCATATACATACCAAGTATTTTATTAAAACAAAAAGTGTGAAAAGCGTCAAACTATTTTCCTATTGTATCGATTTTTAGAATTCTAATTCTCTGACTTCATGTGAAATAAATTGAAGCCGGTATGATATTTTTTACATTCGTGATCTATCTAAAGTTCATTTTTGTTTCAGTTTTCGTATACCACTGTTATTTTGAGATTTTTTTTTGTAAAATCAGTGTGCGATCTATTCGAATATTTCGGTTTTTTTAGATTTCAAGGAACATTTATTTTTTGGCCAGTTATTGAAATTAATTGCTTAATTTTGTACTTGAAAGCTACGCTTTTTCAGTTTGTATATATTATACTTTTTTTAAGAAAGCTAGTATTTTATTTCACATTTAGCCTTTTTTGTGGCGAAGTTGTTGGGCTCATGTCTGATGAAACTAAAAGTCAATTCGGTTAGTTTTTTTTTGTTGGTAATTTGAACTACATGAACATCGTTAGGAAAAGCAAATTGTATTTCGTCACTTATTGCAGTACACAGGGTTCTCACACTCGATAATTCCTACTGCTGTTTTCGATTATCTGATTGTGAAAGTTCCTTTCAACATTTATTCCACCCAACTAGAAATTACTTCTGAATTTTTTTCTTTTTTTATGGAAATGATCTTCAAACGTAGAATGTTTTTTCATATTTCGATATCCTATGTGGTAATAGTGTGAGTTTTTGATGGATTTTCAAGGTATTTTGAACTGAACTTTTAGGTTGCAGAAGGTGCACAGCCTCTAGTACTGCAACATGATGCATGTTGAATGAGAGTTCAGTACATTTTCACTTCAAGAATTTTGAATTCAATTTTTTTTTACCAGAATGCAGTGACATCGATATAATCAAAAGGTATATCAATAAGGGGTAGCCAATTTGACTTTACCATTCCTCTTGCGGTAAATAGTGTCTGTAGTTAATTGACTTTCACTATCAAAATTTGATTGTTGAATTGTGTAATGCTTCGAAGGGTGTCCAGTTGATTAAAACTGATGTTGGTGATTTTTCGCTTCTCGTGTTTTTTTGATGAATATGACAGTTGAACACCAACAACTTGTTTTTCATATAGATAGTTTGAATATTCATGAAATGAAATTCCAAAATATATATTTTGTAAATTTCTTGAAATTCTGTATGTCGCTACTTCGAAATTGGGAACCATCTCCCAAGAAATTCTAGTTTCAATCTAGTTTCCACACGTCAGACTGCTGAAATATGTTACGTGCCATGCAAACCTCACTTGTTGAGATATTTCTTATATGGATCCAAAAACAACAACTCAGAAAAAAAATAATTTTCTCACTCAACAGACACGAAACATGCGAAGTGGAATTTCCTTAGGGAGATTATACAGTGCTCTTAATGAAAAATACTACCTACATAGCCAAATTATTCGGCCACAGTAGGACCTGAGGGAAAGGGGTATGGCTCGATATCTCACGCGAGTCATGTCTTATGTAGGGTCTAAACGTGAAAGCACGGTATGAGATTCGCGAAAATATACTTCATTATTGAACCATACATCGAATATGAGCTGGAAATTGAAGTATAACATTATTTCAATGAACAAAAGTAGAGTTGTCACTGTCACTTTATGAAGGTGTAAAACCTCTTGATGAAGTCAATTGTTTTGTCACCAACAAATAATAAAATTGTGTAGAACTTATTTTTAATTGGAAAGCAATTGATCACGCTCATTTTCTCAATCTCTTTGGAAATCAACCAAAAACTTACATTTCATAATCAAAATTTTGAGTGTGTTCTACGTTTCGATTAGGGTATACTGTACCATCATTTCTCATTAGTTCGTTGTTAGCACCTTTCATCCCATGTTATTTCATAAAATAAGGAAGGAGCTATGTAGTAGGCAATTACAATTAGAACATTCGTTCATCGAATTATTTCACAAAAGGTTTGTTTGTAAAATGCTTTGTTTTTCCTGGTCGACAAATTGAGAAGGCAATGAAAAAATGCGGACGATTTCTTTCAATTGTAAATAATGACTAGAGTAAAAAAAATCGTACTGACCACACAACCGTGTATCAAGTTCTGCCTGTGCATACCCTGACTTGGATTAGGTAAACCGGCTCACCTATGGTACAGTGTTGCATGACTGATCTTGTGTTGCCTGTCCTAACAGAATCGTAAGACGGTACGTTAAGGATCGCTGTTTCTGTTTTAGGGCGGTAAGGTAGCCCGAGTTTAAATCCAGTTTATAGTTAGATTTATTAACTAAATTTAAATTATCTTATGTACCTATGCTATTTGTATAAATATTCACTTTTATTAAGGAAACACTGTATATGTGTAGTTTTGTTTTGTATTTGCCGATAACTTATGAGATATGGAATTACACGTGAATACATATTTATTTTCAGTGTGTATTGTTTATTGTATTTTATATTTTTTCTTAATTTGTAGAGAAGGAAGATTAGACAAGTGAATAAAATGTAATTTATGTACAGCTGAAATTTAATTCTCAGAATTTCTGTACTATCGATTAGACCGCAAAAGTTTCAACTTCATCCTATCCCAGAACAATAAAAATTTACTTGAACAGGGTGGCCAACTAAGACTCCAGAGTTTGATTTCTCTGTTGTCTTGAGAGATACAAAAAAATTCATGAATCAAAATTGAAATAATAACCCAGCTTGACATTTCGAAATTTTTTTGAAATACACAGGGTGTTCCGTAAGGTCACAGCACATCAAAGCTATGTTTTTTTATCGGAACACCCTATATTTTATTTCATTTTTTGAATTCTCCCTGAAGATCTGATTTCAACGACCCATCATTCTTAGGGTCTAGGAGTGAAAGTTACTGATATATAGGGTGTGCAAAATCGAGATTTTCCAAATTCAGGATTTTTTTTCTATCGAAACTGTTCATTATTCGTCAAAATAGTTCACATTTCCCTATCTCAACTTTTCACTCACTATCAATTGGTGTTCAATTGAAATTGATACAAGGTGGTCAAAAAATCTAAATTTATAATTTGTTTCAATTAAATGTCAATTGAACACCAATTGATAGTGAGTGAAAAGTTGAGATAGGGACGAATAACAGTTTCGAAAGAAAAACATCCTAAACTTGGAAAATCTCGATTTTGCACACCCTATTTATGTCAGTAACTTTCACTGCTAGACCCTAAGTATGATAAGTCGTTGAAATCAGATCTTAAGGGAGAATTCAGAAATGAAATAAAATATAGGGTGTTCCAATGGAAAAAAACATAGCTTTGATGTGCTGTGACCTAACGGAACACCCTGTGTATTTCAAAGAAATTTTAAAATGTGAAGCTCGGTTATCACTTCAATTTGAATGCAAAACTTTTTTTTGTTTCTCTCAAGACAACAGAGGTATCGAACTCTCGATTCTGAGTTGGCCACCCTGTACTCTATTTCTAGGAGAACTAACTTAAATTTTGAATAAGCATTTCAAGCAACTATTCTGAACATCTATCTTTCCAATCTGACCTAAAACGTCCGAATATCCGAATAAAATTAACTAAAAACATTAAATTATTGTTGGTCATATACAGGGTATGTCACGACGAGTTTACACTATCTATATGGAGAATCAGTCGGGAGAAATCCATGAATATACAGGGTGACATAGAAAAAAGTACATTTGCATAGTGCCACACAATAGAGGATACTAAAATAAGAAAAAAAGTTCCTATGAACATGGGTCCGCAAGGCCATCGGTTTAAAGATACGGGGTGTTGAATTTTAATGGAAAAAGGTATTGAAGTACAAGGGCAACAATTTGAACATCTTCGCTCAGGGTGATCAGAATTCTTAATCTTGAACCACCCTGTATCTGTTTCGATCAAATATCAATGTTGCTACTACTTTCTAGTAGACGTGGCAACACTGCATTGTCGAAAATATTTTAACTGAAGAGAACGTATTCCAAAATATAAGCATGCACAGGATTTCTCCCGACTGATTCTCGATATAAAGATAGTGTAAGCTCGTTGTGATATACCCTGTATTTCAAGATAATAATTACTGTACACATTGAATCATGTGAGGTGTTTTTTCATATAATAACAGCGAAACTGAGAGATGAAAAGATACTGACATCAGATTCTTATTCATTGAGGAAACATTGTGTGTAATCTTTCAGAGCTTTTCCGAGGTCTCCAGACATGTGAAAAATGTTCAAAAGGGTTAACCTTGTTTATTTTTAGTATCTTAAAAGCATTCAACCCTGAGTTTTCATGTTTGATATAGAATATTAAAATGCTATTGGTGTTCCATGTTTGACCTCGTTTTGCTTTTTTTCCAAATTTTGATATAACAACTATTTTATAACTCATTTGACATTAAGAGAACTAAAAATTGAAAATACCGGTTGTATTTATTATCTGTCCTCCACTGTTGTACTTCCTCAAGCAAACCGATAGCCATTTTTCACACCAGTGAATAATAGCGGTAAATAACCATTATTCACTGGTCCAAAGTTCCTTAGATGTTATATCGTGTACCCTAGGAACTCTAAGACCAGTGAATTATTGTTATTCACTGCTATTGATCACTGATGTGAAAAATGACTACCATTCTGCTCGAGGAAGTACATGTATTATGAATATTTTATGCAACAGTGGTTGATAAAAATATAATAGTAAGTAGATCTATTCCAAACGTCACACATATTCTAGCTATTCATTCATTTCCTTCTACTTCACCTTGTATGACTTTCTTTGAAGCTACTTATTTTCTTAGGATTTAGTAATACAAAATAAAGACACCAACTCAAAAAGGAGTTCTTTACTTTAACAGTCTTATGTAAATGATAATAAGCATGATAACATATTTTTACTTCATCAAGTTCTGAAAATAAATAAAAAAATCAATTTACATCTAACAAACAATATTACAAAAAACCCTGATTCTATCGTGACCATAAAACTTACCTATCTTAGTCAATCAAATTTAAAGCTTCCAATGTACAAAGTGGCGAATACATTCACATACGAATATAATAACCTTGAAGAAAAGATGACAACCATTCACAACACACCTTTGATAGGTCTAACAACGAAGAAGGCGATCCAAGTAGAACATTTTGACGAATTCGCATATTATTTTGGATGACGTTGCTTTTGTTGTGCATACATCAGTTAGGTTAGGTCAGAAAGTTTAAAGTCGGATTCATGGACTCAAGAATGATTTTCCCCAGGAAACGTTAGATCGGCTTTCTCGTTTCAGGACCTCGTCACCGTTTAGTGTGTCCAAAAATTGATCAAACATCTCCTTTTACGATGTCCATAAGCTCGTTCACGGACTTATTGAGTAATTCCAAGCACTCCAAAGGCCCAAACACTTTTCCCTTATCATCTACACTATTATCACTACTGCTTTGAGTCTCTGAATCACTATCACTTTTGATTTTGGAGTTCGTGGTAATATCACTAGACGGATCTTGTTCCTTGGACGAACCGCTTTCATCTGCAGCAGTTGGTTCCGTTTTTGCAGAACTTGGACCACTCTTATCTGAAAAGAGAAGATAAGGCAATGGATAAAAACGTTGAATTATTACCTAGTTCATTTGGCAGAATAGGTTGAAATAATTATGTTGAAAAGGAAGTCCAAATAATCAATCAAGTACCACTTGCTAGAAGAGTCCGACAATAATTAGTTGCTATCCAAACTCGACTACAATGAACCATGGAAGCCTGACGCCATTGACAGTTTCAAACGGCATTCTCATCAAAATATTTCCAAACAAATTCCTGCAATTTTTAAATAGCCCAATGGAAACCTGGAAACCTCTTCATCTGACGTCACGACTTGATCTAATTGGAAAAGGTTGAAGAAAAATAACAACTACAAGTGTAGTCAAGTCATATCATTCGTTACTTTTCAGAAAGACAACCCAACTATCTTGACCTCTAATGCCATTTAATCACGAGATCGGACTGGATTCCATTGAGAATGCACATTTATTTCCTGTCATATACCCTAATCACTGTCACACATGATTCTGCACACCAAGTGACATAAGTCGATGTCATTAAAGATATGAATGGATGGTTTCCATGACTTCAATAAAGATAGTTTGGACAGGATTGGACCTTCTATGCATTGAGCAAAAACGTTTTCAAGCTTAGTTTACTGCTGGGCAATTTTAGCTTTGACGATGTTAGCAATGAAACTAAATGATGTTATTATTCTTCAATTTGAATTGGGTAGACACCATCGACCAATAGCTTCACACGTTTCATCGCCAAAACCAAAATCGCCCAGCAATAAACAAAGCTTCAGGCGAGCAATTTGGATGAGATTTTCGGAATGTTGGAATATGACATATAGCAGTCTACAAAGTAGGTTATGTCGGTAGGCTCCAGTTGACATCATGAAAACCGAAGTTAGAGCAATGGCCTTAAAATGAAAAATCTTATAGTGAATTCCTTCAGCAGGAACTATTGAAGTGTCTCCACTGAGTGTATATTTACTTCTGTTCAACACATGTACGTGAGTGAGGAGGAAACATATACATTGAGTGCAGAAACAGTCCACCAGTTCCTGCTAATGGAATTCACTATTAATCACATCATCATTTGAACAATATCTCTCAGTACATGGTTGTAACATTACAAACAGTGTCGCATTGATCTTCAACATAAGAAATCACACCCTTAATCAAATCATTTGGATATACTCTTCCTTGAATCCTCGAATTCTTTGACCAACCGGACTAGCTAATAGCGTATTCGACTGCATTTTATTTCAACTTTTGTCGGGCTTGTGTGTTGGGCTGGTATGCACTCAGACAGTACCAATATTATTTCTCTTCGGCTGAACAAGCACTTCTCAATGATAGAACAGAATTTATGATCGACTGGTAAAAGCGCTCGTTGTTAATTCGAATGTTTTCGCACAGTATTTTTTACGGTGCCTAAGTCAAGGGGTGGAAAATGCTGAAAGGTAATGAGCGTTTATTCACATGTTATGTTCAGATTTCAAGTCGATAGATAATGATATATCTGAATTCATATTATCGAAGTAGGATGAAACAGGAAAGCAGAACATTAATGATACCCAGAAATTGCAATGAAATATTGGAATAAGATGTATTTGTAGTAAATGATAATAGTTATTTATTATGCATGGGAAAAAAGTTGTAGTTTTTAGCTCGAGGTTGTGTTGTTGCCCAAGGCGTAGCGGAGGCAGACAAAAATAAAACTATTTTTTCTGTGGCTAGAGAAAGAACGAATCCATATTGAGAACACGAATTGAGAAGATATTAAATTATATTAAAATCAGAAAATTATCGACTTGAAATTTGAAGGTTTTAACAAGAATTACACCTGCGTTGCAGGCATCTTTATCATGCTTTTGATGTTTTCGAATATATGTCAGTCTAATTCTGGGATTTTATTTCAAAAAGTTGCGAACTTAGTGGTTGTTTACTTATTTACGTAAGCCACACAGATCAATTGATAATTTACCGAAAATGGCACATAACCTGACATCTTAAACCAGATTTATTAGGAATCCAAATATTTTATAAGTCATTGAATACTTGGAGACATATTTTTTTTCAAGAAATAATAATTTTGAACCGTTTACCCTAAATAATACACTCAAGTGAATCATCCAGCGATTTAATGCTATTTTTGTTCAAATGAAAGCAGCTCAAGTCATTAGATATCGAAGACCATTAGTTATATTTTATATCATCGAACCGCATCGACCTTCGAAAAGCCCAGGCGAAGTGATCTTGGATCGGTCTGCAATGGTTTTCAATAAAAAACGTCAACATTTGAAGTTTGGCCAATACTGTCATTGCGGCAATCGAAAGAGAGTTTTTGGTTGCCGACCGGCCTGACCGACTGGTAGTTAGTGTCACGTGACTGATCATATATGACAAATACGAATGGTTGCAACAGGTCGATTGATTGATAATATACCTAAAATGACACATAACCTGGCATCTTGAAAACGAGATATATCAGGAATCATCTATTTTATGAGTCATTAAATTCCTCGATACAGGTTTTTTTGAATGACATAATAATTGTGAACTGTATACCAGAAATAATACACTCAAGTGAATCATCCAGTAATGTTATGCTGTTTTTGTTGAAATATAAGTTGTTCGAGTCACTTAATTTAGAAGAATGCAAATCCCTTGCCACTTTTCAGAGTAATTTGATTGTTTTGAGGTTATACTGTCTATTCTTGAACCGCATCGACCATCAAAAAACCTTGGATCGGTCGGCCTTGGTCTTCAATAAAAACGTTACCAACTACGAAATAGCCACAATGCTCACAGAGGAATGAAATAGTAAATAAATGTGAAAAGCTCACAGTCATTTCCACCCAGTGTTCATAAAATGAACAACAATGGTAGATTTCGGGAGAAAAACAACTACTTCTCTGGCTAATGCCACGCAGGATATTGAATTACATCCTCCCGAAATCTATGCATCGACTCGTTTAAACGAATACTGATACAAGTGATTCTTTCCTGAATGCCCATTGATTTCGATTAAGCCAGGCCGCCAGACAACCACATACCGGTTTCGAGCTCTTTGACTCTCATCAGTGCAGTGTAGTCTCCAGCCAGCAGTCCTAAGACCGCCGACTCAGCGAAGCCTAGCCAAACAAAAATCAAGTTGGCATTATATCCACCCCGAGGCGTCTTTCATCGATAAAATGAAAGTAACGCCATCTGAGTAGAACCGAGGAAAGAATCACTCCAATAATGAAATTCACATACGGGAGTGGCTGGCAGCCCGACTGGCGTGATAAGAACTACGATGCATAGATTTCGGGAGGATGTAATTCAATATCCTGCGTGGCATTAGCCAGGGAAGTAGTTGTTTTTCTCCCGAAATCTACCATTGTTGTTTATTTTATGAACACTGGGTGGAAATGACTGTGAGCTTTTCACATTTATTAACTATTTCATTCCACTGTGAGCATTGTGGCTATTTCGTAGTTCTTATCACGCCAGTCGGGCTGCCAGCCACTCCCGTATGGGAATTTCAGTTTTGGAGTGATTCTTTCCTCGGTTCTACTCAGATGGCGTTACTTTCATTTTATCGATGAAAGACGCCTCGGGGTGGATATAATGCCAACTTGATTTTTGTTCGGCTAGGCTTCGCTGAGTCGGCGGTCTTAGGACTGCTGGCTGGAGACTATATACACTGCACTGATGAGAGTCAAAGAGCTCGAAACCGGTCTGTGGTTGTCCAGCGGCCTGGCTTAATCGAAATCAATAGGCATTCAGGAAAGAATCACTTGTATCAGTATTCGTTTATACGAGTCGATGCATAGATTTCGGGAGGATGTAATTCAATATCCTGCGTGGCATTAACCAGGGAAGTAGTTGTTTTTCTCCCGAAATCTACCATTGTTGTGCATTTTATGAACACTGGGTGGAAATGACTGAGCTTTTCACATTTATTTAAAAACGTTACCATTTGAAGTTCGGCCAATGCGGTCATCAACCAAAAACCCTGAGGTCGAAGTGGTGATTTTCGGTTTCGTATTCTGTCCTTCAGGAAATAGAGATTCGCTCGCAGCACACATTGTGTAACGCCGGCTTAAGAAGTTACTCACCCCTTTTGACATCCAATTTGCTAATTTCTAATTTGATTTTGCTCTGCAGCTGCCGGAGGGTGTTCAGCAGCAATGGAGGGGGTACGCCTTCCGGGCTGCCGTACACTAAAATGAGTGCCCTTATGTCGCCCGATAGCCTTTTCGCCATTTTGGGAACGTCGAACGAGCCGACTTGCTCGCTGAGAGACACGACTGTGTTGTCTATCATTCGCAGAGTTTGTTCTGTTAGTACATGAGCCGATACCTAAACAGCATTAGAGAATAGATTTGGTCATGCTATGATCGAATTGACTCAAAACAACTATACCGCACGAATCCGTTTTGCCTAGAGTCACTGGATGGTATTAGTTTGATAAGAGTTCGGACACAGCTGAACTTTTGTCCTTTTCTATTTTCCATAATACAATGGTTTAAGTGAATAAAAGAATAAGACATATATTCTGATCTTTGTCTTTTCAATTTCCCTAGTAGCGCCTGATTGTCAGATACGATTTTAGAGGTTATATTTTCTGTCAAATCAATCATAGCCGTAGATGGACAATGAATATAGGGTACAAACACCCACTTCAATTCATAGTGATACACTTCTAGCAGAGCAAGTATTATATAAATGAAAAAAATGCATGTAACAACATTTTAATATCAGAGAATATATACATATGGAGAAACTTATAGCTATGATTCCTTATTTTATGTGCAACTGTACTCCAGTGAAGTATTCCTGAGACAAGTTTAAGAAATAAAGTTTATATAAGCTTGTGTCCGGAAATGCTTCATTTCGGAGATATAGGGTATTGAAATACAGAGAACAAATCATTTTTCGATAAAGATTTCATCGGAAAGTAATTCATTTTGACGAGACCTACCAAATACTTGGTTTTGTTAAGTTCTCAGCAACTTCACTTAGCGCCCTAGGAGCTAAGTAACATGGATCGATATAGAAAATATCTCCAAAACGATAACCTCCAGCGTAATTAAGGCCTTTATAATAATTCTCTTGATACATGAGTATCTATTCACTTCTCACTGTTGAATTTTGAATTCGCGGTCAGCACCAAAAACGCCATAAATAATATATCACGTTGTAGTTTACTTGCTTTTCTTTGTTTCGTTTTCAAATTTTCAATTTCGTAATGTAATTTTGCGATCATTCTCCCTTTTTCCATGATTATTTTGTTTTGTATTTTGTGTGATGATAATAATGGAATTTTGTTCTTGAAATCGTCTGCTTTGTAAATTGATGGAACAGCAGATTCTCTCAGGCAGATTTTGAAATCTTCTGTTTGAAAATGGGCCTAAAATATAGATTCATTCTAATCAGATGCTGTTATAAGAAGTGAATTTCAATGAATACCTCACAAATTTCGCTAGTCTTCAAATTGATTTTCCACCCAGGCCGTTTCATATCTTCCTTCCATAAGCGAATGCTTGATATTTGATTTGGAAAATCAAATGAATGATATCCATTTGTTTCAAAATTGGCACAATTTATTATACAGCAAGTGATTTCCATAGCTGCTTTTATCTCGAAAGTATAATAATTATGAAATTTCATTTTAATTCTGACGTTCATAAAATGAATTGTCAAATTCAAAAAATTTTGAATGAAAAAGCGCGGGACGACTATGGTGCTCTTGTCACCATGCAAGGTGCGTAACTTTATAGATCTAAACATTCAAAAACCCAAACCGTTGTCATTTCTGTGTCCGAACTCTTATCAAACTAATACCATCCGGTGACTCTAGTTTTGCCCAAACAAATACATAGGCGATTCCTATAGACCAATCAGAGTGATTTGGGCAATAGCGGTAAATTCAAATCACTGATATTGGCGGTAGATTCGAAACACGAATATTTTTCATAGAAGATAATAGCAATACCCTTATAATTAGAGCGGAATCAAGTCGACATATCCTGATCCTGAAAGAAAGCATCATTGAAATAGCGAATCATTATCAGCCTCAACAGTCCTCAACAACCTTCTGCATAAGAAAGGAGAGACTACTTTTTGAAACACTCCAACCTCACTTGGCCTAAATGAACCTTCTCACTAAAAAGTTTATTTTTTGGAAAATCACTTGAGAAAACAGAATAAAAAATCCGACTGGACACAGGAATTAAAACCGGGTCCCCGACGTAAGATCCGAACACACAGAAAACTGAGCCACGCAGAAAATTAATGTATGAAGAGAGAATGTATTTACACTTTATGATAAGTTGGTCTTAATCAAGTCGTGGAAAAAAATTCTGCATTGGAAAAACCCCATCACGATTCTGAAAATATTCCTTTTCAAGAAAGAATTTAGTCAATATAAGCAGTTACCCGCACTTGCATCATTTGTTAATTGTTAATTTGTTTACATGTTGCATGTTTGTTGCACCCTATACGTTTCTCAACACGCAGACGCTTCTTGGATTGTTCTGATTGGTCAATAGCGATCGCCTATGCATTTATTTGGGCAAAACGGATTCGTGCAACTATACCGTGTGACAACGAGATCGTTATTCAGTTGTTTTTTTGTTAGAATTTTGAAATTCTGAACGGACATATTTCCTTGAAAACCATATTCTCCATGATGAAACAATTGAATTTCAAATGGATATATATGTTATGTATTTTTAAGACATACGATAGGGCAATAAAAAACCCTTTTCAATTACATATCACAAGTGGACATTTGTTTACAAAAAGGCGGCGCAGGAGTCATTTTGTTTAACATCAATATGGTGACACTGTGACGTCATCGATCGAATTTTTTGGAAGCCACTTGATAAAACAGCAGAAAACAAAGCACTTCGATCAGGATTCCTTATACTAATTCTTTCAAATAACATTCTTTCTAAATACTGTCTGTAGGTTAATCGAGGAGGTGGTATATTCATTATTCCAAATTTTTTGGGATTTTCTCTCCTCGTTTCTATAAAATAAAAATATGAATATTATTTCAATATACGTGTAGTAAGGACAAATCAGATGATTTGCCCCAAAATGTCACTGCGTTTAAAGAATTTTCCTATCAGAGAGCCTAAAAGAAAAATTCACTAGCTTGTCAGTGACAATTTGTATTGAAAAAATTTTTGGAGAAGGGAAATAAAGGTATATAGAAAAAATATCAAATTTTCACTTATCTTTGGACGTTTCGGGACCGGTTCTGCTCCCGTTTTCAACATAAGAAGAGATTATTTCAATAGCGAAGTCGTATAATGTCTTGAAGCTTTTCAGTTTTCAATGACAATTGGTGACGTTGGCAATCAAATGAGTTACAGGATGTTTTCATTAATTGATCTTGAATTTACCATTTTCATGTTCAGATTTTAGTAGTGAATACCATGTTCTGTCTATATCAACTGAACAAGAAGCAATGTTATTGTCTCCGTTCAGAAGAATGCAAGCAGATTCCTTGATTTTTCTCTTCTGGTTAAAATTATTGGAAAAGAAGATAACAACCAGAAGAGAAAAATCAAGGAATCTGCTTGCATTCTTCTGAACGGAGACAATAACATTGCTTCTTGTTCAGTTGATATAGACAGAACATGGTATTCACTACTAAAATCTGAACATGAAAATGGTAAATTCAAGATCAATTAATGAAAACATCCTGTAACTCATTTGATTGCCAACGTCACCAATTGTCATTGAAAACTGAAAAGCTTCAAGACATTATACGACTTCGCTATTGAAATAATCTCTTCTTATGTTGAAAACGGGAGCAGAACCGGTCCCGAAACGTCCAAAGATAAGTGAAAATTTGATATTTTTTCTATATACCTTTATTTCCCTTCTCCAAAAATTTTTTCAATACAAATTGTCACTGACAAGCTAGTGAATTTTTCTTTTAGGCTCTCTGATAGGAAAATTCTTTAAACGCAGTGACATTTTGGGGCAAATCATCTGATTTGTCCTTACTACACGTATATTGAAATAATATTCATATTTTTATTTTATAGAAACGAGGAGAGAAAATCCCAAAAAATTTGGAATAATGAACATTCTTTCTATTGAACTTTTTCGTTCATTATGTACAGACTGTTCCATTTTCGATGTCCTTACGGGTTATCTCACTTATTTTCAAAGATAAAGATTTGCGGTTTTCGCGAACATTGGTTACTTTTTTGTGAAACTCGCGATACCGTAAACTAAATTCTCATAATTTTCTTCGTTCTTGAGATACAGGACGAAATTGAAAAAGTTGCATTTTTGGACCCCCTTGTATCTCAGCTATCTTTCAACTTATCGGAAAAGTAAAACCTGTATCTCATAATTTTTTTCACGTTGAATCCAGTGAGGTAGTCAGATTTTCAGAATGTAGTATATAGATGATTCAGGCTATGATTCGGATGTTTATGTAACATAGCGATATGATGTGTGGAGACCGAAATGTGAGTCAGTCAATATATGATAGCCGAGCTATAAAGAGTTACTGGTGTTTTATTCTATACAATACGTGATAGTGAAGATTATACAGTACGTGATAGTGAAGATTATATACAGAAACTTCAATTTTTCAGATATAACCCATAGTTGTTTTTTCAAATGGAACATCCTTTTTTTTTTCATACTTGAAATATTGATGCTCTGCGCTTTCTGAAAATATATAAGAATTATGGAAAATTTCAATTATTAGCCATGAATTTAGATAATTTCTAGGTTTTCATTAGATATTTCATCAATGGGCCTTGTAAATATGTGGCAACATTGTCCATATCACGAATTTTCATATTCACCTTGTTGCTGATACAGTGATTCATCACACACCAGTTTTAATTTTACCAACATTATATAGAAAATCGTTAAAAGTATTGTATCGTCTCCCATTTGATACACCAACCAATCAATTGTATGAAATAACAAATACGTATTCTTTAGATAAAATATATAGAATTGAAACTCTCAAAATATCATATAATATCATAAATAAAAAATTGAAGTCGAATATCATTGATACGGAATTCTGAAATTCATAATCATGAAACTAGACAATATAACTTGTTCCATCTTGACGCCGCTAGCTCCTTAATCGGACAAAAAAGATTCACTCATTCAGCCTTAACTGAATTCAATGAACTACCTGATAATATAAAAAATTGCAGAAATATAGGTATATTTAAAAATGAAGTAAAAAAACTGATTATTTCTCAGCGGACTTGATAAAATTAATCATGCCATTTTTTTTTTACAAATATTATTCTTTGTTTGCCAATTTACAGTTGCTGATATATTTTGAATGATGCTATGTTTACCTATAGGTATATAATTATGTACTTCCTTATACCAGAGCCTATTCTGTCTGGAAGTTATTTGTTCAATAAATAAATAAATGAAATAAATAATTTATTGACTATAAAAGCTGTGGACCTAATTAGTAGGGGGCTATGAAGAAAAAGCGAGTGCAGAATGTTTCATGATCTGTTTCACACCTACCTGTCGAATTTTCATACAACGGTGAAAGATAATCCATGATATCAAATCTACGAAATTTTAGAAACCAACTTTTATCCCTACCTCTAATTTTTGTTTTGTTTTCATGCCAAGAGGATTAGTATTCACCATCACATGAAAAATTCATATATTCGACAGGTAGGTGACAAGGATCATGAAAGATTCTATACACTCGCTTTTTTTTCATAACATTTGTCAATATTTTGTTTGAATTTTTTTTCAACAAATCGGTTGAAGTGTGCCGTACGAATTGAAAAGCTGCAGTTGTCGTGTTTTTGTAAAAACTTCACAAACGATACAATTGCAATGGATTTCCATCAAGTAACGGCCGAGTAAATTCAAAATTTGTTAGGTTTTTCCTGATCTTCCTAATTCTGATTAGTTTTTGAAAAATATAATTCAGAAAGTCAAAATTTCCGAAGACCTTCTCTGGATTTTTTTTTTCATAGTGAGCCACATTACCGAGTGACTCACCCTGTATAATGACTTATACTTTGATGATTATTTGAAGAAAGTAAAATTACTATTTGAAATTTTCGAGAAAATTCAAGAGAAAGGATGTTATTCGGAAAATTACTGATAGGAATCCTGATTTGACGATGAATAAAAATATGGGGTTTATAGAACTATATCATCGATTCAAATGTCAAAATTCTGACTTAAAAAACAAATAATTTCAAGTTTAAAATTCCTGTATGTAGGAAGCGTTGTACTACAAAAAATTTTCATAGAAACATTTCTGCTAACAGAAAACTACTCAGAGTCGTCAAAATATGATCATCCTGTATATTTCTAACCTACCTTCGGAAAAAACGCCAGCAGGAATTCATATATAATATCCACAGTCAAAGCTGATCGTTCATCCAACAATATTGCATCCACATAATCCACAAAATAATTGCATGAGGTGAGCATATTGATATACTTCCGGTCTATGTGCTGAAAATAATGAAAATCGAAATAGATTATTATCGAAATATTTTCCTTAGCTCACTTCAAAATGATAACATTCAAAATTTCAATGTCAAAAGTGATATAGCAACCGTTGATTTGGTAACTGATGGCTTTCAGTCCTGAAGAATGAAATTGACTTTGGAAACGTCGAGTATGTGAAACTAGTTCAAGAACTTCTCAACTGAAATCTCACCATATCATCAATTAATAATTTGAAAAATTTCGAACTCGATATTACCAACCTGGGTTTTCAAGATGTCTAACCAAAGTTTGGGGAAGTAAGTTGAATGTAGGGGAACAGCTTCGAACCCTACCACGGCACTTAAATTAATCAGTACTTCAGGAACGGAATCACTATTTACCGCTAACCTGAACATCATGTCAATGAAGTCATGATAGGGAGTGAAAAATTTGTCTAAGGCCGAATCGTATTCTGGATCCACACCCTGAAACATCAACAATATATTATTGACATGTGTCAAACACAAATCAGTTCATCTTCAGCCGAGTTTCATTGAAAGTTCCATCAGTATTAAAAAAAAATTAAAATATATATATTCTTGATATTATGTCTAGCAATAATAGGTCATTTTGCGTGAAGTGCTGCATTTGGCATAACTGATTTCATTCACAAAAAGATTATGGTTATCATGAGTAATATCAAAAATACTTTGATATACAGTTGAAAATTGAAAGTTCGAATTGTGGACATTGAAATGTTTAACGGAAATGTATAAAGGAAAGAGGGAAGAGCCTGGACCATTCCGATAAAACTTGAAACTTGATAATTTTTCAACGTTTGAATGCAATCATGCCATGCGATCACAAAAAGGAATTAGCATATTGGTTTAGGAGAGCCTATAAGCGATATATTGAAAAGGGGAAGGAGTTAACCAATATATTTTAGTAAAAATCATAGACCGGCAGGTAGTGATACTCAGTATGCCTTTTGGAGACTATCATTCTATATATATTTTGTTAAAAAATGATATATGAAAAAATTCTCCCGGGTTATTCATGCATTTAAGCATGTTTTCAAGGTTTAGGTGTACTTGGACATGCGAAAACGGTATGCCATTTTTTTCGTAGCATATGTATAGCAAAAACATGTATACTTCTTAACGGCAGCCCGTTTGAAAACGAGGAACCATTATTATTTTTTCAAATGCAACTACACCTGACCGTGAATAGCTTTCGGGATCACGCAACCGGTATGCATTTGTATTTTCAACTACGCATATCACTTATACAGTGTGTCCCACTTACCATGCTCACCATGGGTATCTTTTTAACGGTGAGAGATACGAGGTCGGTTAAATGACACCAAATGTGGAGTTTGTCAAGGCCAACTATTATGTGATAAAATCTATTCGTTTTTGTTTTATACGCAAAAAACAGAATTTGATCATTTTCATGTCTCCTCCGTAACTTCTTTATTTATGAAATTATTCAAATAGGAATTTGTATAAATGACGATAACTCCGTTACTATCAACACAAAACTGTTACTGCGACATATCATCTGTAAGAGAAAAAAAAAGTTATTTGTAACTAAGTCATAGTGAGCTATGACCTACATTTGAAAAACTAAAGTTGGTGCTGATATCTCAAATTCTAGAAGAGTTGGTATAAATTTCATAATTTTTTCGAAATCACTTTGAAAAACGGCCATGAGAATGTGGAATTCCTACTTTAATATTTCCATAAATAAAGAAGTTACCGAGGAGACCGAAAATCTTTTTTTTGCATATAAAACAAAAACGAATAGATTTTATCGAAATATTTTTTCACATTATAGTTGGCCTTGACAAACTCCACATTTGGTGTCATTTAACCGACGTCGTATCTCTCACCGTTAAAAAGATACCCATGGTGAGCATGGTAAGTGGGACACACTGTATTTCATTTTGGAACACAGGCAGCTAGAGTGTAATGGTATCGAAACGCTTAATTTGGGAGGAAATAATTTTTTAACATCAAAATATATAATCTAATGTGGAAGTCCATAGCTCAAAGGTGAATATGTTTCGGACATCAATAGTGTCCATCATCAGCCGAAAGGTGAAAAATTGCCCTACAAAAGATACAATATGCTAGGTAGCTCAATTACAACATATCAGACTTACATGGGGATGAAGAGTTATTTTATAGTTCACATATTATTCCATTTAAACAACAAACAAACTTTATGTACCATAAATTGTTGGCCTCTTAGGAAGGAAATTTGATTTCCCAGCAGTTAATTAGATTCAATAAAAAGTTACAAGAAATTCTTATCCTGTACTGGGTTTTGTAACAGAATGCACAGGCACAGACCATAGGACATAGGAGAACAAGCAAAGGAGGGGTTTTGAACCCGGGACTAGGATTAACTTTCTGTCTTTCTTGATGTCCGAAACATGTTCCCCTGATTCCTTTTAGGAAATAAAACTTCGTGGAGATGATTTTGTGTTTGTCTCTTACTACTCATCAAAATATTTACCTAATGAAACCCTCCAAAAGGCATACTGGGTAAAATCAACAGCTACTGGAATCTTAATCATGCTATGAAGAGATTTTTCTAGAAAGAATGTGGTATAGCTATTAATATCTATATCGTTTGCGTTCAATATACTCAATTTAATTCGATCAGTTTGTATATTATCATTAGCGTGCTCTTCACTTTTGCATATAATAATCCTTTTATCTTTCAGACAGTATCATCAAATTACAGAATACAAGAATTAATTATTGTTTGTCCAACAAAATTAGGCTACCCTTGCGAAGAACTCACTAGCATTTTCATTATATACAACTTACCCTGCTACACTCTAATTGGTTATGAGGCACAGTCATCTGTACCATAGGCCTCAGGGGCCTAGCACCACCTTTACCAGCCACGATTGGCAAGGAGTGCCCCCTCCTCGGGAAGTACGGCCCCAAAGGAACAGCGTCCTGGCTATCTTGAAAGGCGGAATGGCAGTGAGATAGCAATGGCACCAGTACTTGCATCGCCTCTGGTGTCATGATTGCTACGAATTCTTTAAGTACATCTGCAAATGAATTGAATATGTTGTCATGAAATCCAACCAAATTAGAGAGATTTCCATCTGTTGGATCATTTCCACTATGATTCATTTCAGTATGGCGCAGTCGGTAGGATTCACAAGTAGCGTGTAGGATGTGAATATGAATTATTTTTTAAAATTGTGTCAGCATAGCATGTAATATATTTCAAAAGAGTCAATGAATAAATATTGAATGGATGTAATACAAACCGCTACAACTGATAAATTACTGAAATTATTCCGATTATAAATCATTAGAAAATGAGGAAGTAATAACACTAGGATACAAGTAGTAGAAAAACGGAATCAAAAAGTCAATTGATAGATTTACAAAGATTATTATTCATTATAATTTATTCCTATACTTGAAATGATGATTTGAAACAAATTGAATCTTAGTACTTGAGAGCTAAGTCAGAAAAGGTGAGATTAAGATAGGTCAGATGAAAGTAAAACAGGTCAGCGAGAAATTGAATGTGCAACTGATAATTTTGACAATAATAGTGCATCACAGAAATTAGAATAAGGAAAACGTGTCAAAAGCCAGTAGGTGAATCAATTTACATGAATATTGAAAAATTATGTATTCTTTGGTTCGGGAGTTTATGAATTCATTACAATTAGCTGGTACACACTGTATAAATTAAACTGCACAATTAGAATCTTATTTTACAGAGGTGACGCTTTTTCATCATAGAAATCAACATTATATTTGTTGTAATTTATATGGCGTTATTTTGAGTAAAAATATTCAGTGGCTCGCACCATTGTCGATCTAAATGAAAAAACTAGTTAGTAGGCCAGAGATTGTCTGTTCATTGACCCAAAATTTGTCTGCCTGTTGATGGCGCTACTGTATAATAATAATTAGGTAACTATTAATGGGTCGCGTGCACGATGACCGACCCTGGAGGCAAAATATTGAAACACAACCTCATTCTTCTGTGAATTATTGAAACACAACCTCACTTTTTCACTTGGTTACAGAGGAATCAAAGGATTGAACTAGTTTTTCACAATATTTTGGCATACGAATCGTGTTTTTTGCGCTATTCATTAATTCGAGCATGCCTTCGCATTGTGCTGTTGTACAATGCACAAAAAATGCAGCAAGAGACTAAAGAATATGATTTTTCAGGTAAATAGTAATCTCACATAGTTATCATTATGAAATGTCATTCCTTATTAAAATTCCTTCTGCCTTCTGTCACTTCTGCAATACAAGCTAATACTGCTAATAGATTGAAAATGTCTACAACACACACGATCGTCAGCATGTCAGACCAGTCCTCCCGATTGATTGAATGAATCCAATTTTCTGGCATTATTTCAGAAAGTTCAGATGTATTTCTATTAGCTTCTATCGCAGAAAGAATTCCGATGAGAAATCAGAGAAATTACCAAATTTCAAAAATGAAAACTATATGTGAGTGACTATAGTAGGTACTTACTTTTGAATCATATTGTACCAACCGGATTACTTCGTCTTCCGCTGCAGTTTTTGTGCATTTCACAACAGCATAATGTGATGGCATGAGCGAATTGATGAATAACGGAAAAATACGATTCGTATGCCAAAATAATTGTGAAAAACTATTTCAATCACTTGTAAACAAATAAGTAAAGTGACGTTCTGTGTTTCAATATTTTGCCTCCAGTGTCGGTCATCTGACAGTTCTTGCACGCAACCCATAGCTCATTTGTTTCAATGTCAGTGAAACTTTTTTAGGTTGACTTTGTCTTCTTCTATTTTTTTCCAAACAGTACTCAATCAGTCAACCAAATATATTCATAAAAGAGAAGAATATGTACCTGACAGTTTTGAAGTCTGGTGGTTGACTGTTGCCTCACTTTCTTGAATTATTTTTCCCCGAATCCTTTAGAAATTAGAATTGCGATTTTTATTAATTGGTTGGTTTTTACCCATTTGTTGTTCTCGTATTTGAAGTAGGTATTTCCAAGTTAATACATTGATTTGTTCATTTTCTTCAGCTGTTGTACTTCTACTAGTTCTACCTAGTTCATAGCTTCCAGTAATTATTATTTTGATTGCTCATTTTTAATAATTTTTCTTTTAGATTATAGTTATTACACTGTCTGATTTTCAGTGTTTGTCTTGTTGGTTTGATTGTGCTGTGCATAATGTCGCGTACAAACTGTCGTGTTTCATTTTGCAATCCAAGAGATGACGTGATAAAATAGGTATTATCTAAAAACTGCTTCCCCAGTGATGTAAATTTGAGGGAACAATGTGTTCAGGCAATATTAAATGCATATCAAGGTGAAATATTCTTCTTGGATCGCATGTTCGAAAATAATGCATTAATACTTGGGAAATGAGAACACTAGGAGTTTGTGAGCATGATTATATGTATATGTTCGGAACAAAAGAATTTCACGAATAATATAGTAACTTTTAAGGGAAATAAGCATCTCCTACTCTTCTGCTTGGATTGCATGTCAAAAAAGTTCGAACAGTAACCTTGTTTTTATTTTTATTCATTTATTTATTTCAGTTATTGCATTACATTCTCTTCTTCATTGATACATTTCATACAAATAATATATAAAGTATAATTAATTTTCTAGTATGAATGACATGAATGATCAATTGAAATTACAAATAGTGAACAAAACTTACATATCATTAAGATACAGTCATATTATAGTGAACAAGAAGGGGAAAAATAAAAACAGTGAAAAAAAAAAGAAAAAAGGAAATTCATAGTCTTTCAGCTTTGATCATTCCTTTGCATATAAATATATTTCTTAACTTTATTTTTGAAATGCATAATATTTGGGCTGTTTTTGATATCATCTGGTAATTTATTGAATTTCGAAATCGCCTCATGTGTAAACTTTGTTTGCCCAAGTTTAGAATTTGCAGCTTCAAGATGAAACAAGTTATATTGTCTAGTGTGATGATCATGAATTTCGGAATTCCTGATTAATATAAAATTTGATTTAAGCTTGTTGTTGATGATATAATAGGAAATTTTGAGAGTATTGATTAAAAAGTGCTCTTCCAAAGAAAATGTGTTTGTTTCCTTATACAGTTGATTCGTTGGAGTATCATATGGAAGATGATACAATACTTTCAATATATAGAACAGAAATTTTGTTGAAACTATTTTTGGAACAAGATCCCCAAATATTTATGAGATAATTAATTCGACTGAGTATATGTGAATAGAGAATGATATTTGATGTATATGTACTAAGTTTAGGACATCTTCTCCAAGCACCAATAATGGGAGATACTTCTCCTATGAGGATGTCAATATGCTTTCCCCATGTTAATTTCTCATCAATCCAAATACAGCGCTGATGATTGTCAGCCGATGTTTCCGTAGTTCCTACTCAAATTCAAATAGAATCTTGAATTAAGCTGATGAAGCATTGTGTAAACAACCTCTTCCATTAGGGTTTAGGTAGATGATTTTCCTACTTCATATATATCTTTATTGATAATGTTTCAACCTCAACTTTCAACATGAGAGATATTTATTTCCAAACTTGACAGTCTACGCTTGATAGGAACATGAAAAATGTTGAGGCTAGGAATACAAAATGAACTACTTAGTTCATGTAGATGTGTCTACGGTAGAGTATACTGTCACAATGAGTGCGGTTTTCGCCCAATGAACAGACAATATTCTCGTCTATTCACTAGCAAGCTAGCTTCTCCATTATAAATTGATGATGTGAGTTCACGACATATATATTACATTCATCATTCATGGACATGGCAACCAAACTATAAAAACCGAATATCTCACCTATACACAACGTCCTCATTTCTGGAGGATTGTACGTGTTGAGTAGAGTACCCAACTTCCTGAGCACCTCTAGCCAATCTTTGGTGGCCAGCAGAATACCTCGAGCGTCTTTGTTGTCCCTGTACATCCGGATGCACTGCATCAAATCCTGCATGATAGTGAGAATGTCCAGCATATCACCCACTACATGACAAGCGGTCGCTTCGTGCAACATCACATGGAGATTCTGAAAACTCTGGAAGAGATACAAGGAGTTTTGGTATCAGTGAAGAAGATGAAGAGTTCGGACTGACTGGCACGCATACTAGCAGCCCTAGACGATGGTATTGTTGACATTTGAATTTTTCAACGATATACCATAATGAAACAATGGAAACAGATAAAAAAGCTCGTGCAGCCGGCTCAAAGAAGGAAATTAGATCCATTTCATTCGTAGAATGAAACACATTTTTCTCTAATGATGAGAGATTCCGTCGATATTGAAGTAGTTTGAGAATCGTTTTAATCTAATGTAGCTAAAAAAAGCACATTTGGAGGGTCTCAGGCCTGTTAGTATCCGTCTTCAATAGTCAAAATAATTACCAGAAATAGAAGTATATCATTGATACCCCTCTTCTTAGTAAAATAAAACATATATTATGCTTTGCCAGTTACAACTGATTTCGCCGATATTGAAGACAATCGAGAGTCGTTGAACTCGTGTCAATTATTAGAAGATGATATCTACAATAAGCCGTATAGTGTCCGTTGTTGGTGTTACCGGTAGCGATTTTACTAAATATACTGTACGCTAGCACATACCACGCCCACCGTTATATCTCATCTTCAAAGTACTTTACTTAGGCAAAACTTAGAGACTATTTATCCTCAACGAACTAACCTATCCCTGATTGCAATATTTTTGAGGAAGGAAAACCGAATGGAGTGTAGAAACACATTGATTAATAATATATTTCAAAAGTTGAGTTCTTCAACAAAATTGAGTAAAATGAGACTGTTTATCCTAAACGCACTAACCTATTTGACTTCAAATATTTTATGAAAAAGGAAAACCAGAATGAAGTAAAAACACATTGGTGAAAAAAAAAAGTTGCAAAAAAAATTTCAAGTTCACAGCGATTCGAACCATGGACCTTCAAACTGAAAGTCGACAGCGCTAACCAGTAGACCATTTGGGAGTATGAATTTACTGCGTACAAGAGATTGACAACGAGACAGCTTCAGTCGAATTCGTGTCAAAATCATAAAAAGTATATTCTTGCGTTGGAGCACAGTATATTTAGTGCGATGTGCTCCGAGTATATCGGTAATGTTTGGAGATATAACGTATAATGGTGGGCGTGGTTTGTGCTAGCGTGCAGTATATTTAGTAAAATCGCTTACCGGTATGATTCGAAAAAGCTTATAGATCGTATTGACACGATACAATGTCGACAGCAGCATAGTGGTTCATGTCCAAGCTGACCAATGGGCATTCAGTCTCTCTCCGGACCATTCCATCTGTCAGAATCGTTTCAGATGAATCACTACAGTTCTGAATAACTTAAGAATTTTTAAATAACAATGGGCATTTTCGATTCTCCTCACATTTCGAGCAGGTCGGATTGCTGCGGTATAGGACAAATCACAAAAAGAGTCGAACATCACTAGCAATCGAAATGGATATTTCAGGGTAGACTTCAACTGTCCGACAAAATTGTGGTGATCCAATTATCCATTCTCAAGATCTTCGACCAAGAATTCAATGCCTTGTGATCATCATTCAATAAATATTTTTTGAATTGACTCGGCCGTTACTTGATGGAAATCCATAGTAAATGTAAAAAACTCCACAAACGATAAGATTTAAACAAAATTCTCAATTACACAAAATTCTCAATCACACGACATGTTTCGCTAACACAGTAGTTTCTTCAGGTGAAATATTGGTGAAATAAACTGAACTCACATTGACTTTCCTAACTTTCATATTCTATTTTCATGCAGGAATTCTTGCGAATCCTGTTGCGCAAAACCTATATGAAGCGCATACCTTTGGGTTAGATGTTTCAAAGAGTTTATATACACGATTCAAGTCAGATGAATCTCATGAGAATCAATATCAGATCCTAATTTATTATTCTATGTGGATAAATCTCCTGGATCCTAGTATTCCTAATGATGATCGAGATTTTGTTTAATCCCAAATTATTTTGTAGCACGGGCGATAGTGTAATGCCTAAGTTCCCAGAAATACACAAACTACATTGTCAACCTAACTTCCTGACGTTAATATCGGCTGTCACCTTGATCGTCAAATCCTCGTTTCATCTTGTCAAGGTGCGAATATTCAAAGATATACCTCATAATCTGATTCTTTAGTTAGGTGTTGTGTTCTCTGTTATCCGCAGTAAGTATTCCATCCAGAAAATTCATTCCATATTCTGATTGAAATGACAATCAGAAATATTCTTGCACTTGTCTATCAGATTGAGATGATGGAATAGAGAGATACAGCCTGCACACCGATGAGGTCGAAGTATCTTTATTCGTCTATTGTACTCGTTATATACCCTTCACAGTCGTCTTATATGGTTTTGTCAGTTCGATCATATTTGATTCAACTGTATGCATGTCAGATGCTAGAATGCAGTCACTGTGTAAACATAGTCGAAGTCGAAGTTTCTTATCATGGATTTCGTGTTAGTTAAAATCGCTTCGATGTCGTCTTATATGGTCTTTGCGATCTATTCTGCTCCAATAGTATCCATGTGAGATGATAGAATAGAGAGATACAGTGTGCACACCGCTGGAGTTGATGTATCTTCATTTGCCTAATGTACTCGTTATACACACTTCAAAGTCGTCTTATATGGTCAGTGCGATCGTGCAAGAACTTTCTTCCCGCGTTTTTCATGTTATGAAATATAGTGAATTTCAATAATAATTTAAAAAAGTTATAGGGCTCTGAGAAAAAAACTGTTTGCGACAGTGAACCGGTTAGGGATAGTACTTCAAAATAATGAAATATTTTTTTTTACTGAAACAGACCCATTGTGTCTCAAAGTCGACTCCACACATTGAATGTCAACTAGAAGCAGTAAATCCTGCATCAACAAGGTTTGAGATATGTTTAGAACATTCAAATGACCATCATCAGTTAAAAATACATTAAGTGGATCTACAATATGGACTACTTTAGAAGATTTTGTTTATGCCTAATGCAAGCGTGAATAAGTTCATCGAGTGGCTTATCAAACAAACTCCTTTGGGTTGAATGAATATTTTTGAATTTGAATTTTTCAAATATTATGAAATAGACCTATTGACAGAAAAAAATACTCTTGTTCCATATTAAAACTCAAATGAAGAAGTAGATAATGAGAAACACTACTACTACTACTACTACTTCCTGAGTTTAAAATAAAAGAATATCATAATGATTGCTACCTATATGATTTGTCGCGAATGATGCCACAGTCGCAAATTCAATAGTAATACTATCTATGTAAACCTGATAAAATACTGGTCTCACCTCGAAAACTATTTGTAGTCCACCATTATAAACAACATAAAGTTTATCATCATTCGTCTCTAACAATATCCTGAACGCTGATATTAGGGTACCCCAACTAGTACGTCCATCGAGGCACTGAAAACAAGTCATAATAAAATGCGAAAAAGTCCAAACGATTTGAGTTGTAGCTACCTGTAAATAAGTCATAAGCGTATTTTTCCTGAAACTATAAATTTCTCTCTGTTCCGATTCCGTAGTATCTGGATACTTCATCACCATCAACTGCATGAGTTTGAACAATTCTTCTACAGCTTGGGGGTACTGAGTGGGATGGGGTGTGATATTTTTGAAGGCCCACTGCAAATTCTGATGCTGCGCCAGACTTCTAGTGAATACCCTGGACTGTTGGCACATCATCCGCAACAGGCCATAATAGGCAGGCAACATTGCACGATTATACATGACAATTTCTTGATCATCGTGATCAGCTCTAAAAATAAGGTCAATGGTAGTTGCACTATCATCATCATTCAACATTTCAACTTTTAGTTATCTGAATAACGAATAATGTATTACGATCAAGAACAAATGATATATTTTTAGGTGAGTCATTTGTCGTTTATTTGTTCGGAAGTTGAGTGGAGTGAAATGAATAGGGCAATCTTCTCCTCCACGTTTGCAATGATGAGTTGATGTGAAAAATTGTATGCAAATCGTTTTTGTACATGGTACAAACTGGAGTAGGAACAGACTTACATTTGAAATATCAAATAAATGAAGTGGTTTAGACAACACTGAACACACAAGATTATTTTCAGTCGAATACATACTCTAGTATGGGTTTTTCAAACCTCACCCTTTCACAAATTTACTTTCATATTCAAGTTATATTGATATTATTTAAAATTATAATTATTCAAGGCTTTCTCAACATGCTGTATTCCAAACAGTCGGATCATATAGAAAATATTCTAGTAATTCTGGTGAATTTTGAATTGATGAAGGAATCTGACTGAAAATTCTTGTACCTACTAATATTAAACTCAGTAATGATGAACACATTCCACTATCCCTTGATCAAAATATTTTTTCTACTAGCGTTTTAGTATTTTTTTAGTATTGTAGTACGGAAAAGTGAATTTGTAACTGACATTTGAAAAGTCAATAATATTGAGTATTTCTCAAGGTTAACTTTTGGGGTTTTTCCGCACGCTAGTAGAAAAAATAGTGTACTTAACACGTGCGTAAGATGACTTCCGCACGCGATTGCTGGCAGAACTCCGCTAAGCGTCGTTCAGCCATCTACATCATTTCCGCACTTTCAAAGTAAACTACTATAATGAAGTAGACAGACAGAAACAGAAAATCTGTTTATTGAGTCCACCACGTTTAAAATTTTTTGAACGACTCGATACTATGTCGATAAATTAGTCAAAGTTGAATATTCCTGAACAACAAAAATATCGACATAATATGAACATATCGACAATTTGTATTCTTCTTCAATATAAAAAAAAAAACTTAATTAGCCAAGAAATTCGTTACAAAAGGCAGGATTTATAAACACACAAATCTGAACTGAAAACCTATTGATTTTCATCAGACTTGCAGTAGAGCGTCAGTATTGTAGTTTCATAGAAATCAAATACAATCATGATTGAAAGATAATCAGTTCTTATACTCACAGAATATAATTGAATGCGATATTCTTCGTAACATGAGCGTTTTGGAGCATCAACTGCACATTTTCTGGACAATCAGTGCACACGTGATTCCAGAAAGCCAGAAGAGTTTGTTTGTTGTGATAGGCTGGAATCGATGGTTCCGACAATTTGGGATGGAACAAATGCCATAGCTGAATGAAATATTGCCCAAACTAAAAAATGAAACGAAAAAAGAGTTATTTATGGACATCTAAAAAAATCTCTGTAATTATTGAAATAGTGCAGGTAATTGTCTTCGAGGAGGTGGTATGGTAATATCTAAAGATTTGTTGTTTTATTCCCAATTTTCGAAATCATAAAACTACGATGTATTGAAAATTATAACCTATCTTTTGGCATATGTTCTAACATGGAAAATAATTATATCATATTTTCGAATGACATAATTTGTTGACTACATCTTCAAGTTTGTTCTTATCGCATATATCTGGCACGTCACATATGGACGACATATCACTTTCTGTCTCAAAATATCGACACTATGGAAATAAATAATAAAGCTATATCAATTATTTAGGGAAAATGAGGCTACAGTTTGAATTTTTGAAATAATGAATTAGCAGAAATGAAAACAATGTACCATAAAAAATTTCAAAACAACACTGTATTAGGAGTGTTGTATCGATTTTTGAAGGATTCCGAAGAGAAGGTCATGACAATGATTGAAAATCCAGATATATTATCAGTGATCATTAAAGATCAATATTGTGATCATTGTCAAGGCCTATTCTCGAAATCACCCAAAATCGATCGAACTCTTGTTAGTTTTGAGTGCGCATATTTTGAGAAATACAGAAGATACTATTATTTGAAATTCATGAAATTTGCAGCTACCTTCATATCTTTTTAGAAGGTAAAAATGTATATCTTGATTGGAAAAGCAACAAGAATCCTCTGTGAATCTGTACCAGACTAATTCCACCATGATAGAGGGTAATACTTTATGAAGTGTCACTCAGTACAATATCCTGCACAAGAGTTCATGAAAATTCCCTGTTTCAAGTTGAAATCTAAAATACAGTGTGTCCCACTTACCATGCTCACCATGGGTATCTTTTTAACGGTGAGAAATACGAGGTCGGTTAAATGACACCAAATGTGGAGTTCGTCAAGGCCAACTATAATGTGAGAAAATATTTTGATAAAATCTATTCGTTTTTGTTTTATACGCAAAAAACAGATTTTGATCATTTTCATGTCTCCTTTGTAACTTCTTTATTTATGAAAATATTCAAATAGGAATTCCACATTCTCATGGCAGTTTTTCAAAGTGATTTCGATTCGATTTATGGCGGCTTCCAAATAATTTTTTGTTCTTGTATAAATGACGATATCTCCGTTGTTATCAACACAAAACTATTACTGCGACATATCATCTGTAAGAGAAAAAAAGTTATTTCTAACTAAGTCATAGTGAGCTATGACTTACATTTGAAAAACTAAAGTTGGTGCTGATATCTCAAATTCTAGAAGAGTTGGTATGAATTTCATATTTTTTTCGAAATCACTTTGAAAAACTGCCATGAGAATGTGAAATTCCTATTTGAATATTTTTATAAATAAAGAAGTTACAAAGGAGACATGAAAATGATCAAAATCTGTTTTTTGGGTATAAAACAAAAACGAATAGATTTTATCCAAATATTTTGTCACATTACAGTTGGCCTTGACAACCACCACATTTGGTGTCATTTAACCGACCTCGTATCTCTCACCGTTGAAAAGATACCCATGGTGAGCATGGTAAGTGGGACACAATGTATTGTAAAGGATATTGTGCAAAAAATGTCTAACACCACCATACACACTTCACCAATAACTTCTCAGTTCTCGATATGCAGCAACGTTTTATTCCTCCAAATGGGCAAAATGATCCGTTCCGGTAGGATAAGGGGTTATCATCATCATAATCAAGGCCGTGCAGTTGCATGATTAAATTGTGCTCCATAATCACTCAGAGTGAGATTTTTTTTTCCATTAAGTATTAATAATCATTTTCCAATGATTTGTTTACTGTCTATATGTATGTATTCATATACCTACTAGGTTTCTTGAGGTAATGAAGAAAGGTAGTCAAGTTAAACAAACATTCATTAACAGCACCTTCTCGGTCCCATAAAGAAATTATGTCACATACTGATTACTCAGAATTGAAAAGTGCAAACATCTTTTAGTAAACATTTGTTTCCATCAAGTGTCAGTTATTTTTAAATGATCTATTATCAATTTTTTACCTAAATACAAGAAAGCTCAAAGTCATTTCCACAAATGTTCATGAAATGAAGAACAATGGTAGATGATGAGAGGAAAACAACTACTTTCCTGGATAATGCCACGTAGAACATTGAATTACATCCTCCCGAAATCTATGCATCGATATGTACGAACGAATACTAAAGCAATTTTTTTTCTGTTTGTATGTAGTATGAATATTCCTACTATTTTTGTTGAGCTGATCAAGACAAGCAGTCAACTAAAACAATCACCCATTACCAGCAACTTCTCGGTCCTCGATATGCAGTAGTACATCATTAGCGTGAAGTACGTCGTCATCTTTGTGGTGCCGTGCTGTTGCATAATCGAATTATCTCATACTGAGTACTCAATTGAAATGTAAAACAACCATTCAGTAAAAATTTGTTCCCACCAAGTGTCAGTTATTTCTAAATGATCTATTATCATTTTTTTCTGTGTTTGTATGTATGTATGAATATCCATACTATGTTTGTTGAGGTGATCGAGACAAACAGTCAACTAAAACAAACACCCATTACCAGAAAATTCTCGGTCCTCGATATGCAGCAGTACATCATCAGCGCGAAGTATGTCGACAACGTCGTGGCGCCGTGCTGTTGCATAATCAAATTATGCCACATACTGAGTACTCAATGGAAATGTAAAAAACCATTTAGTAAAGATTTGTTTCCACCAAGTGTCAGTTATCTTCAAACGATCTATTATCACTTCATTTTCTGTATTTGTATGTATGTATGAATATCCCTACTATGTTTGTTGAGGTGATCAAGACGAGCAGTCAACTGAAACAAACACCCATTACCAAGAACTTCTCGGTCCGTGAAATGCAGCAGTACATCATCAGCGGAAGTACGTCGTCAACTTCGTGGTGCCGTGCTGTTGCATAATCAAATTATACCACATACAGAGTACTCAATTTAAATGTGAAAAACCATTTAGTAAAAATTCGTTTCCACCAAGTGTCAGTTATCTTCGAACGATCTATTATCAATTCTTTTTCTGTGTTTGTATGTATGTATGAATATCCCTACTATGTTTGTTGAGATGATCAAGACAAGCAGTCAACTAAAACAAACATTCATTACCAGCAACTTCTCGGTCCTCGATATGCAGCGGTACATCATCAGCGCGAAGTACGTCATCAACGCCGTGGTGCCGTGCTGTTGCATAATCAAATTATGCCACATACTGACTACTCAATTGAAATGTAAAAAACCATTTAGTAAAAATTCGTTTCCACCAAGTGTCAGTTATCTTCAAACGATCTATTATCAATTCTTTTTCTGTGTTTGTATGTATGTATGAATATCCCTACTATGTTTGTTGAGATGATCAAGACAAGCAGTCAACTAAAACAAACATTCATTACCAGCAACTTCTCGGTCCTCGATATGCAGCAGTACATCATCAGCGCGAAGTACGTCGTCAACGTCGTGGTGCCGTGCTGTTGCATAATCATATTATGCCACATAATGAGTACTCAATTGAAATGTGAAAAAATCATTTAACAAGAATTTGTTTCCACCAAGTGTCAATTATTTTCGAGCGATTTATTATCAATTTTGTTCTGTGTTTGTATGTTTGCATGCATATCCCTACTATGTTTGTTGAGATGATCAAGACAAGAAGTCCACTAAAACAAACACACAAACATTCATTACCAGCAACTTTTCGGTCCCGATACCATTAGTGCGAAGTACGTCGTCAACTTCGTGGTGCCGTGCTGTTGCATAATCAAATTTTGCCTCATACTGAGTACTCAATTGAAATGCAAAACAATCATTTAGCGAAAATTTGTTTCCACCAAGTGTCAGTTATCTTCAAACGATCTATTATCAATTCTTTTTCTGTATTTGTATGTCTGTATGAATATTCCAACTATGTTTGTTGACAAGCAGTCAACTAAAACAAATACCCATTACCAACACCTCCTCGGTCCGCGATATGCAGCAGTAGTAGTCAACTTCCTGGCGCCGTGCTGTTGCATAATCAAATTATGTCACATACTAAGTACTCAATTGAAATGTAAAAAACCATTTAGTAAAATTTTGTTTCCACCAAGTGTCAGTTATCTTCAAACCATCTATTATCAATTCTTCTTCTGTATTTGTATGTATGTATGTATGTATGTATGTATGTATGTATGTATATCCCAACTATGTTTGTTGAGGTGATCAAGAGCAGTAAAACGAACATTCATCACCAGCAACTTCTCGGTCCTCGATATGCAGCAGGACATCATTAGCGTAAAGTAGGTATGTCGTCAACGTCGTGGCGCCGTGCTGTTGCATAATCAAATTATGCCTCATACTGAGTACTCAATTGAAATGTAAAACAACAATTTAGTGAAAATTCCCTACTACGTATGTTGAGGTGATCAAGACAAGCAGTCAACTAAAACAAACACCCATTACCAGCAACTTCTCGGTCCTCGATATGCAGCAGTACATCATCAGCGCGAAGTACGTGGTCAACTTCGTGGTACCGTGCTGCTGCATGTCGGTGTAGTGCTTGGCGGCGGGCAGCAGCCGAAGCAGCGCCGCGTAGATCTGGTGTAGCACGGCCTGCGCCTCGGCGGAGAGCTGCGGCTCGCGGCTGGAGCGATGGGTGGCCCTGAAGCCCTGCCGAAAGGCGGAGCTGGGGACGAGGGAGACCAGGAGGTAGCCGGCGGCTGCAAGAAAACGTTCAATTGTGACCGCTATTTGTGGTAGCCAAGGTCATTAGATGACGTGGCGATGGCATTAAAAACTACGAGAAAACATGTGAAAACTTTCAACGTCATCTAATGACCTTGGCGACCGCGAATAGTAGAGGATCCGAAGTGAGGTCGACCCTCACCAATCTGTTTATTGGATGGAAAAATTGTTTTCGCCGGCAGGAGTAAAAATTAGTTTCTCTGGTAACAAAAGAGGGACCGAAGTCGCGTATTATTCCCTAGACAGATAATATGACATATTTTCTTCCTAGAGAGTGCATAGTTCTGCGCTTTTTTTTTTGCAATTGCATTGCCCCATAAGTCGAAACTTGTGCGGGGTTAGGTAAGCATACAGACACAAACATCCATGGCCTAACTAGGATTCGAACCTATGTCTCGGTGTCCCCATACGAACTCAGCGCATTCACGATCTCGACCACCGAGCCGCCGCTTCGGAAGAACATTCGCTGAAGCTGCATTATACAGATTTCTGGATTTCATTGGTAGCAAGTTAAGAATCACTGCAGCAGAACAAACAATTTCTTGGGGTTCTCCCTCGATTTCTTGTTCCATAACCGTTAACAATTTTCGAACCTGTTTTCATGAATTTCAGTTTGATATTTGCTGTCACCATGGGTTGTCAACAAGATGCATGTTGTTAACATACGAATAATACAAACCTCTACTACTAATAATTATGACAGAACACACAGTCATGTCTAAGTTATTCAAGAGAAACTGAAATTTTCTATTTTCGTTTTTCTCGATCACCTCGAAAACTATTGACTGTATGAAAAGACGACTTCATCATTATGATGGTACTTTTTAGTGATCTTCTGAATGGTTTTGTCGATTTTTAGAAAACACAAGAACGAAGAAAATAAGTAGGTCATAACTCAGAAATTTGATATTTTAAAAAAAACTGACAAAAGCATTTAAAAGATCACTAAAAAGTACTATTAGAATGTTGAACTCGTTTCATCAAACAATCAATAATTTTTGAGATACCTATTCCAGAACAAAAATACAAAATTTCAGTTTTTCTCGAGGTTTCTCTTGAATAATTGAAGACCTTAGAGCAATACAATGGTAAGCCAAAATTTGGCAAAAACCTGTTTTATTGCATAAATCACTCAGCTAAAACTATGTTAAGCCACAAAAAAATTAATTCGACTGTAAGGCAATAGATGGCGGAGCGATCGCTGCATCGTGTTATTGCAGGCAGCCAAATTTCGTCATTTTGTCGCGTAAAACGTGGTAAGCCATATCACAATGGCGTCGACCTCCGGTACACGTGCTCATTTGAGGGCCGTTTTAAGTATAAATAGCGGTTCAAGTTCTGATTTTTTTGAGGATAATGATGACAGTTGTGCCGACAAAGACTTTGTACCAAGTAGCGATGATATATCGTCGGATTCTACAGAGGTAGGCTACATTTTCTTGTTTTTTTGGCTTACCATGTTCTTATGTAAAAATATTTTGTAACTAATTTATGCAAGAACATGATATGCCATGTGGCTTAACATGTTACTGCGTAAACTTTTTTTTATTTTTTTTTTATGTTGCATTTTAAGTCTTATTTTATTATGTTTTAGGATGAATCGCCAGAGTATGAATTTTATACGCAACTAAATGTTGCTGTTGACAATTTAGACGAAGAGATTGAAATCCTTGATGAGTAGTATTCTATTTTTTCAGTTATTTTCATGATGAGTTTAGTTTAAGCAAGAACATGTTAAGCCACATTTTCTTCAAAATAAACTCCATTTTTTGTAAAAAAAATTGTTTTTTTTGTAAATAAGAGTTGCTCATCTTTCTCCCTCTTTGACTTAATGTACTGACAAAGTTTGAAATCTTTTAATCAAAACCATTTTTTTACAGAATTTTTGAAAACTTCAAACCGTAATATCTCAACTTTTTGATTTTGAGGCTTACCATTGTATTGCTCTAAGGTCTTCAATTTAAAAATGACTGAAGCTAGTCGAGATTTCTCAACGGATTCTGATTCAAGATTTGATTTGCTGAAGCATTCGTAATTTAACCGAGTCTCTATCTCTCATAGTACCAAGCTCCCAATGGCGAGAATCAGATTTGTGACACACTGTTCACTCACAATGAAAATATACTAAAGATGAATGTCAGCTAAACAAAAATAGTGCCATTCACGTCAGATTATGAAACCATCAATATAAACCATCAGAACGTGAAAATGGCGATATCAGTCAAATATTTGGGAATACAAATTGGTAGTTTTCTAAAATGAGATACCCATATATCACCGTTAAAAAAATACGAGGCTATATCTATAGGTATTACCAGTTCAGAAAACTTTTCAGCTTGCTTCACTTATCATCTCTTGAAATCTTGCAGAAACAGCTGCTTAAAATTATTTTGCAAAAAAGACTCACTTACCTTTCTGACCAATTATATATCGATTCTAAGCTACTCGATATCAGGCATCTCTACTGTAAATCTGTTCTAAAGTTTGTGTTCGAACGAAAGAATTATATTGAACCCGTGAATCATATATACAACACAAGAAATAGATATGCAGTAAATATCCAGCCGAGTCCACAAATCTAGAGGCAAATAATGCTTCAAGTTCATTGCACCAAGACTGTGGAATATAATGCCCGAGACAATGAAAGGTCATATGTCTAAATTCAACGGAAAATTAAAAAATATTTTGCAATCCTATCACAGAAAATTATTCCATGATGTTATTGACTCAACAGAATTTATATATCCACTGCCTTCGATATTACTAATAATAATTTAGTATACATGCGTTTTGGTAACCTGATATGGAAGAAAATACACACTTATGTTATACCAACTATATGATATATATATATACAAAAAAACATCAAAACTTACTTACCTCAATTTGTATTATATCTCAATCAATTAATCAACTTTATTATTCTAAAGAACAACATTTGTTTATAACAGGGAATATGGTGAAAATATAAATATATTTGACAAAATAAAGAAGATAGTAAAATAATACTCACACTCAAGAAGAAATCTTTTTTTTTCAAGTTCAACTGAAAATGATTCTTGATTGTCTCAGTTGTTAGGAACCCAATGGAAAACTATAGTAATTGTACGAGAATACTATAAAAATGGGATGAGATGTCGATATTACAGTAGTAGATGTTTCTTGAATTCCTTTTTGAATGTTTCAATCCTATTAATCAGTTTCAAGCTATTTGGTAGTGTATTGTATCATTCCATTTTGATAGATGGATTTTTTACCAATATCTCATTTAATTTTCTCGACAGAAAAATGATCTGCTTGTCTAGTTGTATGGAAAACCAAGTGTACTATGTTTTACGAGAATGTGTTGTGATGTAATGTATTTTCTATATGGGTAAATATATAATATTATCATTATTATATTATTATAGTCTAATATGTTTCTTGGCAAATTGTCTTTGGACTTTGAGGAGTGTCAATACAGAAATCTGGGAAATGATGTGTAATGTTTCCTGGGAATAATAATGATTAACATTTCAATTATTTTTATCATTATCAATATTATCATTGTTATTACTATTATTTTCATCTTCTACTCACTATTCCTGACTCGCTGATTGCTATGGGCGATGAGAAAGTGTTCCAACCAGGAATCCATGGACCCGAGCACCCAGGAATGGACCATCCTGTTCCTGGTGACTTGCAAAGCCAGCCAATCCAAAGCGGAGTAAGGACAGCATTCGGCCGCGTCCCAGACTTTCTGCAGCACCAGTTGGGTGAAGCACGGTTGAGTGGACGAAGCCGTCAAATTTTGATTGGTTTCGGTGAGAAGAGTGAGGATTTTGAAGAACGGTTGGCAGCCCTGAAATATGATTGATTGATTGGCTCTATTGCCCGAAAACATCAAGGTTTATGGTTTATAATAGGGATACATGACTAAATTCAAATATAGCAGGAAAAAATGAACGGTAGCTAATGAATGCTACTCACTAACATGCATTTTATCGAAAGTTTAGTGGTCATTGTGGAATTTTTCGAGTTTTAATTCAGTAGAGTATCTTGAACCATGATTGCTCCGATTCACATGTTATTCATATTCAAGAAAGTTTTTTCACTGTATTTCACAGAAAATTATGATTATCATTAGTGTATAATTGAAAAATTTTCTCTCAACTGCAAGATTGAAATCAGTTGCATTTTATTACCAGAAGTGAAAAATTACAGTAGGAATTTAAACACTGAAATCCTCACTCAAAACCACAGTTCAATTTTTCCTACTAGGTAGATCAATTATTTCATAAACACATCTAAGTAGATGAATCGACTACAATACATACATCTCAAATACCTACTTTGTGAACATCATATTCACTCCACTCAACTTGCAATATTTATTTTACTACTGAATGGGAATTAAATGCAAACTAACGTAACCTCAAATTGAAGCATTTTTGTTTAGCGAATCTCATGTATTTCAAGTAGGGAAACATATCTTATTGAACGAATATCTGCTAAAAAGCTTCCTCGAAGGTAAACAAAAACATACATAACCACAAAATCAAATCAGCTCTCGCGGTGTGCCTGTCAGTATTTTGTGTGGTGTTGAGTGTTATGCGCTGTTGCAAGATATAATCTGCAACTTTTTTAGAAAATAGATCCGTTTTATCAAGGAAAGAGTTGATTTGCAAAAAATTTATGATTATTATTTTGTAACATAAGGAACGTGAAAAATTATAGATAGGTACTTTTGGAAAATAACATGATTTATCTCGACAAAGTAGGATTGTTGTTACAGTAGACATACTGATGATATCGGCAACGCCATAGTGACAAAGGGAATCGTATTTCAACTTTTTGTGAATGTTGCTTTTCAGAAAGTAAAGTCATAGAAATGGTGAAGGAGCCAAGTTCGTCTTTCATTCATTTTTTTCTGAAGTTGAATTTGATCTTACGAAAAAAAAGGAAAAATACGTATACTGGGTGAGTCAGGAGAAACGCACCAAACTCCAGGTGTGTATTGTACAGGTAAAAATAATTCAAAAAACCCATATGACCTTTTACGATTCGCATTTGTTTTCATCTCAAATTTTAATAGATGTGTGGCATTTTATAAGACATTAATCGTACAAACTCGAAAATAAACGCGTTAAACACACTGACACTGAGACGAACACATGTCAGAACAACTAACCAGATGAAACAATCGAGTTTGTACAATTAAAGTCTTATGGGATTCCACAAATTTATTTAAATCGGAAATGAAAGCAAATTTGAATCATCAGAACATATGGTTTTTTTCAAATTATTTTTACGTGTACAGTGTGTCCAGTTTTCGATACTTTTGCCTGATATCTCAGTTATCATTGGAGATAGAACCTTGCGGTTTTCGCGGTCCTGTGCCACTTTTTTGTGAAACTCAAGATGGCCTAATCAGATTTTGCAAGACTGTTTCCGTTTATGAGATACAGGGCGATTTTGAAAATTTATACTTTTTGGACCCCCTCTATATCCACGCAGTTTCTCAACAAAACTGTCAAATCAAAATCTTATCGCATAGACAATTTCACGCATAATCCAGTGGCGCACTTAATTTTTTTTTTCGGGGTATGGTTTTGGAGATACGAATCAAACTTATGATTTTTTAAATGGAACACCCTGTGTTTCATAAGCTCATTAAATTCCTTATTCTTTTGTCTTCAAAATGATATATAACGAATGAATATAACATTTTCAAAATTGCTCAAAATCACTAAAATATTGAATTTTGATAGTTGGTTATGGACTTTTCTTATAAAAAACGTTCCAATTGATGAAATATGTCTTCAAATTTTTCCATGGAGAGGTCAAAACCAATATCAACACTTATTAATTAACAAAACACAAAACTTGGGTACCTGATAGCGACAAATAAATAGTAATAAAAAGTTCATAATGTAGAATAAGCACCTGATTAAATATTAACTGAACCAATTGAATTCCGGAATTATTCAGTAACTTATTCATTGACATGTTCAAATTGATATCCATTTTCCCTAACATACAGTTGACAAACTTTCTTAATACTTCTTAATACAGTGAGTGGCCCAACATACTTGAGAAACTTTGTGCAACAACAGAAGCAGTTTTCCAGGAATTACAAATACATCTTTCAATGATTAATATGTATTGAGAAACTTTGTGATGGAAAATGGACATCAATTTGAACAATTCAATGAATAAATCACTGAATAATTTCGAAATTCAATTGTTTTAGTAAATATTCAATCAGGTGCTTATTCTACATTATAAACTTTTTATTACTATATATTTGTGGATATCAGGTATCTAAGTTTTGTGTAGTGCAAGTTAATTAGTGTTGAAATTGTTATTTCCCCCTTCATGGAACAATCAAAGGAAATATTCCTTCAATTGTAAATTTCTTTATATGAAAATCTCTCGAAAACCCATAGCCCACTATTAAAATTCAATGTTTTAGTGATTTTTGAACATTTTTGAAAATGTTATATATTCATACATCATATATCATTTCGAAGGAAAAAAAATAAGGAATTTAATGAGCTTGTAAAATACAGGGTGTTAAATTCAAAAAATCATAAGTTTGAGTCGTACCTTCAAAACCACACCCCGAAAAAAATACTTTTGTGCGCCACTGGATTCTGCATAAAATTCTCTATGGGTTAAAATTTTAATTTGACATTTTCGCTGATAAACTTCGTAGATATAAAGGGGGTCCAAAAAGTATGAATTTTCAAAATCGCCCTGTATCTCATAAACGGAAACAGTCCTGCAAAATCTGATTAGGCCATCTTGAGTTTCACAAAAAAGTGGTATAGGACCGCGAAACCGCAAGGTTCTATCTCCAAAGATAACTGAGATATCATGCAAAAGCATCGAAAACTGGACACACTGTACAATACACACCTGGAGTTTGGTGCGTTCCTCCCGACTAACCCTGTATATTAAATTTTAAACTTTCCAGTGAGATAAAAACATCGATATTGGAAACTTCCCAATTGTAGTATTCAAGTATCATATTTATCAACATGTATTAAGCTGGGTCGAAATTTAGCAAATAACCTACTGGATCATCACAAAAGAAAAGTTTTCTTTCATGAAAAATCAAATATTCGCTCAAATTTACCCACCTCAGTGTTCCTGGATATCGCCTGAGATATCATGCAAATGATAGACTGCGCCAGCTGATTATTCTCCCTACAAAGAGAATGCACCAAATTCCTCGTCTGCTGCAAATTGATATTATCCTTGATCTGCTGGTACAGAAAAGTGAACCCTTTACCCCCGGCGATCGCGTTGTAATCCTTCTCGCTCAACTGGAGATTCATCTCCGCATCCCGACTCTTCTCCACCAGGTAGGCGATCAGCGTCACCATCTTGTCCAAAGAGCCTGGTTTGTATTTGTCGGTCGGCAGGGGGACAACCTCTTCTTCTTCCTCGCCCTCCGACACGTCCACGAAATCGTTCACTTTTTGGCCGAGATAGAAGTGCACCATGGCGTTGATGGCGCCCACAGCGAGAAGGAACTTCGATTCCTCCTCACCCATTTTGCTGAACTCGTAGAGGAACCCGAAGTACTCGGTCAGGTGCTTCAAGTGCGCCTTGGCACCGTGTTCCATCAGCGACAGCAAAGTTTTGATGAACCTGAAGGGCGGTTTTTTAATGACTATCATAATGAAGTGAAATTTGTTGAAGGTTTTATCAGTTTCAATTCAATTCAATTTCGATTTATTCCATAAAAAACAAGAATATTATCATTAACATTATTCGTATTCAAATCAAATTACGAGGATTACACCTTAGCATTGAGAATTCAGAAATTTTGGAGTAATTCGAATATGAAATAATATACATTATATAGAGGGTGTTTCGAAACTCAGTATCAAGATTTCAGGTGCTTATTTTTCAGATCAGAAAGCATATTTTTTTCCTATAAACATGTGTCCGCAAACGCTTCCTTACCGATCTACAGATCGTTTAAATTTAAAGATTATCTTTTTTCTTGATAGCTCTTTTAGTTTTCGAAATAATCAGATTATATTTGAAAGAATCGTTATGTTTTACGGTTCAATTTTAACAGTATGTCGAGTGATTGTAAGAATCACTGGGAGATATTCTATCAGGGGTCAAGCCCATTTTCGCTTCATAAACCTTCTTGTGGTGCGCATTAAAATTGACATAATATGAATATAAGTCAGTCGGCATTGAAAACGCCATTGAATGATATATCACGTTGCAAATTACTTGATTTCCTCAGTTTCTTTCTCAAATTTTCAATTTCATTACGTAGTTTTGCAATCAATTCCTCTTTTCAAATAGTCTGTTTTGTAAATGAATGGAACAGCAGATTTTCTCAAACGAATCTTAAAATTTCCTGTTTGAAAATGGGCCTAAAATATAGATTCATTCTAATGTGCTGTTATAAAATTGAATTTTAATGTATGCACACCACAAATTTTGCTCCTCTTCAAATTAATTTTCAATCCAGGCCGTTTCAGACATTCCGTCCGTAAGAGAATGGGGTTGATATTTCTGTTGGCGAATTGAATAAATGAAATCCATTCTCTTCACAATTCCCACAATTCATTTCACAGCAGGATATTTTCATTTATTATTTCTTTTCAATAGTTCATGAAATTATATTTCAATTCTGACGTTCATAGTATTTATTGTCAAATTCAAACAATTTTGAATGAAAAAGCGCGGAACGACTATGGTGCTCTTGTCACAATGCAAGGTGTGTAACTCAATGAATCTTAACATTCAAAAACACTAACAGTTGTCATTTCATTGTCCGAACTCTAAGGCCCGTATTTATGGTCGTTCCTTTAGGTGACTTCGTCCCTTAAGGCAGCCTTAAGGACCAGTTCCCAATTTATAGTCGTAATATGAGTTCCAGGGAAGCCTCAAGGAAATGTCAATTCCAAGGAAGGTAGAGAGGTACCTTGAACATTCTTTGATCCAATTTCTAGTATCATTTCAGGTTAAGTTATGAATTCCATGAATGGAATGATGGAATTGAATGTAGTAATCAAATGAATATTCAAGTTTTGAAATTTGTACAGAGAATCTGATTCGAGTATATCGATTTCCAGTAGATACAAATCCAAGTATAGATGAAAAGTAAATCTTTTTTATTTCAAATAATAGGAATATATTACAAATAATGGAAACTCCGCATATTCACAATTATATATAGGTATCATCTTGATGATTCGTTCATGAAATTGAAATACATACTTTTTTAATGAACAACTCCACAAAATCACAGATTCATTCGAAGTATTCAATCAAATGGATATTTGTCCTCTCCCTGCATATTATTCCATTGCAGCTTGAAAGAATTCCTTGTTTCTAATAGAGTAATTTTTGTATTGTTATTTTCCAACATCGTCATCGATGATCCTTTTTTCATTTTGCGATACCTTGGATATATTTTGTCTGTGATCGAAATCGAAATAATATATTGTAAGGCCCAATTTGAACCAACCTTTGAAGATTATTACTGGATAATTAAAATCTTTCGATGTCCACACTCAACAGTGAACATTGTCAAATTCGACATTTTACATTTTGTGACTAACACGTGACAGGAAACAACAAATTTGATCATAGAACACTAAAATTATACACTGTTGCCAAGTGCATGGGCTCCTTTTAGAAGGAATACTCAAGGGAGGTCTATAAAACAAGTTCAACGTCAAGTACTGAGGAGTTCTCAAGGAATCCTTAGATAAGGAAGACTTGAGGAGTTCTTGAGGAAACGACTATAAATACGGGCCTTAGTGCGACGAGTGGAAAACGCTATAAATTCTAGTCGACAGATTTCGTATTTTGAACGGGTACCTGGTGACGCACGAAGAGTTGCCGATGGTCGAAGGGTCCGACGGCTTGTCCTCTGTCGATTCGGGGGTGTCGTTCGCTTCTAGGTAGAGTTTTGAGTGGGACTGTTTCAGTCTCTGTATCACGTGGATGCACAGCCTTTGGAACATTTGCCTCACCATCTGGTTAGGGCATTTCAGCAATACCTGCACCAACAACGAGAAAGATTTTAAACTAAGAGAAAAATCAATAATTATCTGATAGGAACAATGATAAAACAATGTTCCTGAACTGAATAGAGTGTTCCAAAGTAAAATAATGGAGGAGAAGGTTATATTAACTTCAATATAAAAAAGGTTAGAATGGTCTTCTTCTATATTTCTTCTCATTTCCAGTGTTGCCAACATGAAATTTTCATTATTTCATATATTTCTCTCTCAACCCTAGCTTAGGGTCCCTTGATGCAAACTGACGTATTTGTCATCCTTACAGGGTACGGACAGATCCTCGTCTCCTCTCACTCTAAAGTGTTTGTGAAACAGTTATATATTTCCATCCTTATTCAATTCTAGGGATAAACACTAGATTTTTGACATTCGTTGTTTTTTAGGTTATATTGAGGTCACTGGCGTATCATACGTGATTTCCATATGGAATTCCTGATTCAACTATACCAAGATATAGATGAACAATCCTCTAGTTTTAGAGTTTACTACTCCAGCATAATCTTTGCGATTTAGGGAACACATAAATTGTACTGAAAGCTTAATATTTCACCAAAATAGACTGTTCTTAGACTGTATACCAGGGTTGAATGAATTGACTGAATGAATTCCATATGGAATTCCTGATTCAACTATATACCAAGATATAGATGAACAATCCTCTAGTTTTAGAGTTTACTACTCCAGCATAATCTTTGCGATTTAGGGAACATATAAATTGTACTGAAAGCTTAATATATTTCACCAAAAGATACTGTTCTTAGACTGTATACCCAGGATTGACTGAATTGACTGAATGAATTCTGAGTTCAAGCTGAGCAGTAGTTCATCTATGAGGAATGTTGAAAACCTCGATGTGGGTATCTAGACTACTGTTCTCATGTCATGTGTGCTAAATATATTTTCAGAAATCCAACTCGGAGAAGAATTCATGGTGTTACTATTATTACACTGTGTATAAAACTTCGTCTAGGACGAAAATTAATACGTAAAATGTGCAGAAAAATGAAGAATAGAATATACTCCACCCCCATATGTTATACATATGATTTTTCCGTCTCTTTCAAATAAAAAGTCATTTTCGAATAATTTATTGATGAAAGTAACATAGAAGTAGGTATACGCTAAGTATACGCAGTATAACTTATAGGCACATTATTTTCACTTTTGCATCCTACATATTTTCTATTTGTGGTAGAGTATTAATTATATAAACTAATGTCTTTTGCCATATTGGATCCGTCATCTTGAATTTTTCAATTTTGACGAAACAATCATTATCTCCTACCCCGAAAACCCCCAGATACCAATTTTGAATAGAATCGGATCTTCATTACAAAACTCGTCCACCACATTGGATCCGCCATCTTGAATATCCCAATTTTGACGAAATAGTTATAATCTCCGACCCCGCAGAATCCCCAGATCCCAATTTTGATTTTTTCTTGAATTTCCCAATTTTGACAAAAACTAAAGTTCGACCCCGAAAACCCTCAGATACCAATCTTAAATAGAATCAGATCATAATTAGAAATTTCTTTTGCTATATGTATATATATTGGATCCTTCATCTTGAATTTTCCAAGTATGACGAAACAATCATCAACTTCAACCCCGGAAAACCCCACATACCTTCCAATTTTGAATAGAATCGGAGCATAATTACAAAACTTAAAACTCTTTCGCCATATAATCTTCCTCGACAAGTAAATACCCTGTACATACCTATTATTAAAATTTCGAAAAATGTTCTGTAGCGCCCATGGATGTGACGTGACAGCAATGTCAGGGATGCCAGTAGACAAAACTAAAATCTCTAGATCATTAAAAAAGAATGCAGCTATGATCTGTCCGTACCCTGTTAAGATGACTTTAACGTCAATTTCCATCAAGGGACCCTACCCTAGCTGAACTATTGATATTCGGATGCTACAAACTGACTCAATCAGAAATTGAATAAAAGTAGTGGTAGGCAACTAAATCTTCCATCCGAAAATTTTTATTTTTGAATTTACTGCAATACCGGTCTCTAGCCCCAAAGATGTATTAGTAATTTCAGAATCACGTCATTTGACAGGGCGTTGAAGGGCAAACATTGTATTTCATCATAATTATAAAAACCATCGTTTTTTTATCTCTTGGAGCGCACGAAAGGAAATTCCTATAATGGCATTCTCTCTACTGGAACCAATCATCTGTAGTCGAATATCAATAATAAATATATACAATATATACAATATAGTTTGTAGGCGAGAGGTATGATATTATATGTTCATTCACCCAACATTTGTCTGCCTGTCAATGGCGCTAGTTTACTGAAAACATTGAGAACTTTTTTGTTTCATTGAACATTTGTCAAAATGGACAATTTTTGGTTGGAGTTTGAAACACGTTACCTCAGACTAATTGAAACATTGATTTGATTGTCTGATTTCAAGTGAGTTGTAGTTTTTTGGTTTGATTTTGGTGTTACATTCTGCACTTCTGCAAGAGATGGAAGTATGTGAATTTTTCAACATTTCTTCTTAAGCCACATAGGTATTATTTGTTTTATAATAATGCATTTATAAGTTATTATCAACCATATGGAAGTTGATACCGGGTGTCCCAGATTCTTTCATACAGCCAATATCTCACTTCTTTCAAACCCTAATGAATTTGAAGCCATTGTGTCAAAGTCAACTTTTGTCAAACTACCCCTGAACCACCTCCATCTTTATTGTTTCAAATTACACACTATAAATTTTTTTGCTGATATGTGCAACCAATTCTAACTTCAACGATGTATCACACTTGATAATTTGACTGACGTCCAAATGATAGAGAACGTAAAAGGTATTATCTTAGTTGGATGTACCTAAAGACACGTGCACGAACAACTGTCAAAAATTACAGAAGAAATTAGCTACACCTGATACTGTTTCCTTCGAATTTTGTTATTTTGGAAGTTTTACGTATGTCAAAATATCAAGTGTGATACATCGTTGAAGTTAGAATTTATTGCGCTTCAATAATAAACGAACAATGTATAGGGTGTAACTTGGAAAAATTAAGTTGAGGGTGTTTTTTCAGGGGTAATTTGAGAGAAGTTTACTTTGACACAATGGCTTCAAAGTCATTTGGGTCAACAGTGTAATTTATAAAAAAAAAACTCCAAGCACCAGAACTGAGATATTGGCTGTATAAAGATCTGGTACACCCGGTATAAGCAGTTCATAGTTCCTAATTTTTTATTCTTAGCTTGCATACCATCACTTCGATAAATTGTGAACAGTAATCACAGCACTGATGAGATTCCAGTTACTACTCAAATTCCGATAACATCTATGAATCGGGAATTGTATCATTGTATCAATAGCAGTTTCTCATTCTGCATTACTTATTTGTGCAAGTACTTGAAATGTTTAAATATTCGGAATTTTGATTATAAACTTGACAGAAAAATGGATATTGACAGAAATTTGAAAAAAATCTAGGTTTAGGATAACAAATCAAGAGTTTAGTTCGGTTCAGAGGTCACTAGGTTACTAAAATATTGTCAATATGGGCAAATTTCGCAATTTTTTTATGAACAGTCAATAATATACCTATCGCCTACTCTCTAGGTTTTTATTTAAAAGGGCAATGCTCTGACCTGCGATTTATTTGGACAAGAAGAGGAAATTAAACTCGTATTATACTACCTCTTCATAAGTACTTTCTGGCAAATCAACCAATGAGATGAGAATGAGCGAAAAGCTTGCATGCAAACGCACCATAAACCTGTACATTACTTATAACCCAACTTCTAGCCATCCGGCAGAACCGAATTGGTATGCGCATGTGCGGCGTCGCCATGGTTACAAGGAGAAATTACTTCTACTAAGATGGGCTGTACTCTGCTGCGACCACTCCGACTCCCCACCACTTGGCCAAGTATAAATGATCAGAATTGTTCTTATTTTTTTCAGCTTTATTTTTTTACTCAATTGAATATTGATCTGTTTCTTCTGAAAGCGAAAATAACGACCAATAATCGTTCTTAGATGTTCCTGTGATTAAATATGGCGAAAAAAACTTGGAATTTAATGTTTTTAGGAAAGGAACTGACACACTGATACACAACTAATGACTCCAATCACCGATTTCAACACAACATGGCGTTTGAATTTTCTAGTACATAAATTAGTCCCATTTCCTCTGAGCAAATACAGATTAGATGTTGAAAGAAATGTTCTTTATAAAGTGGATGGCGATATTGGTTGTAAAAACTAAATAGTAGGGGAATTGATTCGTAGACATAATTTCAAGTTAACTCTTCGGACTTCTACAACTTTTCAAGTGGACAGAACAAATTCGAGAAGAATTCCAACCCGTTCAATCCCAAGTATTAGTTGATGGCTCACATTATCCACATCATTCAGGTCAAAATTGTAGTAAATTTGACTGTCGTCGGCGTAATAATGACCCTTGCAAAATTTAAGTTCATCTTTAGATCTTTGCACGACACCTTCGTGAATATGCAGCGTTGAAGAAATTTGTCCATTAATAATCACACGTTGGGAAGGATTTGTCATGAAATGTTCGAAAAACCAAAAGACATCTTTTCTGCACCTACGATATTTGAATTCTCCATCCAACAATTTGTGATCAATCATACCGAAAGCTTTGGAGAAATCAAGCATTAAAATTAGTCAGGTATTCATCATCATAACCTTCAATAATATCATCGCAGATGCCGTGCTATACCGAGCCCTTAAGCCTGTATGATGTTTTGGTAAAATGTTCGTTTTAATACAAACACTATCGTCGATTTTCCATTGAACGGATTGGATATGAATTAATACGCTTCTTACGATGATGTAACATATCGATACGATCTATGTGCCATTACTAATCATATCGGTACCACCAACAGCGGACACTATACGGCCTATTGTATATATTCATTTTCTAATAATTGCCACGAGTTCATCGACTATCGTGTGTCTTCGATATCGTCG